GGGGGGGGGGGGGAAGAAGGGAATGCTTTTTTTCTGCGACCCTCGCGTTCGGGGCCGACACGCCGTCAAATACAAGTGAATTCTTCTTCACAGAGCAGATCTGCAGCAGCTGCTTCGGAACCGATAATGCAGTCCCTCTTCGCTTGCCTCTTCCTCACTGTGATTCACCTGTCAGCAGGCATCGATGCTGCATTCATCTCATCGCCATGTCGCGTCCATCAGCTTTCCCTGCCCTTATCAGCCAGACAACTCCAGCTGCGTCAGCTACATCATGATCCGCTGAGCCCTCCTCTTAGTCTGCTTGCCGCCACATCGACCAAAGAGCAGGTGTACATCGATGAGGAGAAGTTCCTGGAGCGCAACGCCAGGCGGCTGCAGACGTCCATCGCCCAGCGGCTGGGCGTCAAGCCGGAGAGCGTTGCCATCAACGGCCTTAACAACATCGCCACACAGGACAAGGTGACGGTGGACTTCGACGTCGTGGGTGTCAGCGACGCTGAGCTGAAGCGGCTGGCGAATCAGATTGCGCAGGAGAGGCAGCGGACGATTCGCATCCCGTCGCAGATGTCTGGCGAGTCTAAGGTGTTGGCGGCCGTGGCAAGCGACAAGGCGGCCACCACAAAGGGCAAGGGAAAGGAGAAGGCGCCCTTTGATGCGACCATGTCCAAGACCACCCTGACCACACTGAAAGAAGAAGCGTCGTATCCATTTCGCAATCTCAGATACGCCATATATATCGTCGGTATGTAACGATGCGAAACGGAAGGAAACCTCTGCCCGCACGTGTACGATCTGCGACTGCATGGTGTTTGTTTGCTCCATCCGTGCAGGCATCATCGGAGGTGTGTTGGCTGGTGCTGCGAACACCCTGGGACTCCTTGGTGGCGAGATGGACATCAACACAGCACTGCAGAACTATGCTGTGGATGGGGGGGTCCTCGTGGGGGCGGCGCTGCTCTTCCGATTCGAGAGGCAGAGGCAACTCGACGCCACGGCCAGGTAGGGGAGAAGGAAGGGAAAGGCATGACGCTCACACAACCACATGTGCGTGGCGCGTTTCTTTGTTTGCATGCAGGTTGGAGCTGCTAGAAACGCGCAAAGAGGGCGCCATAGCTCCTGAAGAGCTGGCGAGGCGCGCCAAGGTGATCGCATCGCTGCCCCTGGCTGTGTCTGTGGGAACGAAGGCTAGTGGGGCGGAAGCATTCAAGGAAACGACAGTGGGCGAAATACAGGTGGGATCGATAGATGAGGCCCGGCAACGAGATCCGCCAATCTCTGTCGTGTGGCATGCAGGACGATGCAGGCCAGCATGTGGTGATCGTGGGGGCGCCGACGGCCAAGGTCACTGACGCATTGGTGTCCGCACAGATCAAGGGCTCTCTCTTTCGGAACAAGGACGTCCTCATCGTGCCAGGTAGACATCCATCCGTCCTCCCATCCAGCACGGACCTCACATGGCATTTACGGTCTGTCTGCCTTTGTCTCTGTTGTAGTTGAGATGCGTCGGGGCAAGGGCGGCAAGGAGGGTGGGAAGGGCGGAGGGTTTGGTGAGAAGAGGCCCTCATGGAGGAAACAGGGGTGAGTCAGCCAGCTAGACATGCCTTCCTGTAGAGTCGAAAACATGTGTGTGTGTGTGTGTGTATCGATCTGTGGTTTGTACCTGCAGGTATATCGCCGAGCCTGTGGATGAGGAGAGCTGGCGGGCAGCACTGAGGAAAGAAATACAAGGTGAACAAGGAAAGTGATAGACAGACAAGCAGACAGACAGACAGACAGACAGGCCGACAGGTCCACACACTCTCTTGGTTGTCTTCCCTCCCTCCCTCCCTCCCTTGCCCTGTGTGCACACCAGACGCGGAGCGTCAGGGTGCGGGCAAGGCCAAGGAGGAGGGGATAGTCCTAGTTGTCCGCAACGACGGCAAGGTAGTAGCAAGGCGGGTAGGCACGCCCGACTGGACTCTCGTGCTTGAGGCAGTCGAGCCAGATATCACCAGGGGCGCCAAGTCAGGGGAGGAGGCGCCATTTCAGACCACATTCCAACAGTAGAGAGAGAGGGGATGCTTGTGTGTGAGACGCGTGAGCCAGACATTTTAGGTGTTGTCCGTGAGATTCCTTGTTTGTGTGGCCTGAGGAATGCAGTGGGGCTCGGTCTCTCTAACCTATCTAGTCTCTATGTCTCATCTTTCTATGTCTCATCTCTCTCCCTCTTGCTCTCCCTGTCCCTCTACCTACCTCGTCAACTTCTCCCTCTCCCTCTCGATTTTTCGCTGCCGTACTGTACGCGCGTGTCGGGTGTGTGTTGGATTCATGGGCCTGTGAACGTGTGGCAACTCCTGAACGACCAACCACTGATTGATGAGAACACGAAAAGTAGGGCAGCATCGTCTTCGCGTTCCGACATGCACTTTGGTCAGTCAGTGCTCTCGCCGCACACATCTATCTCGGTCTTTTCGGTCAGTGATCGGTGCCACGCATCGCATTCGAGAGGACACTTTGATGTAAGGATGCCTCTCTCCGTTTTTGGTTTTTGCACCTTGATGTAGAGGTAACGGTAGACGTACACGGCTGAGCCGAGGACAAAGTAAAAGAAGACGCAGACAGACGGAATGCGGTTGGCGTGCAGCACTGCGTGGCAGACCGACAGCTGGCTGGTTCACTCAGACGCCTTGCAATGCACCGTGCAATGAGCTGAGGCACACACGTCACAGGGGAGTAGCCAGCGTCTCACTGCACACACACGAACGCCCATACTCCCTCACTATGCACAAACGGTCCCTCCGCCCAGACCCTGATATCTACATCAAAATGTCTGTCTGTACTCCGCCCCCTCCTGCACACACACACACACACACACACACGTGTGAGCTATGTATGGGCTGTTGGTGTACTTGGACAGCGTACTTGCTTGGGCTGTCCGTGAGTGCGGCAGGCCAGCCAGCACGTCCAAGAGCTGCGGTGCGATGTGGTCCCCCAGGCAGTGCGGCCGTCTGTGGGTGGCGGTCCTTGACGGCACATAAGTCGTCACGCACCGGGATCTCGCTCGTCTTGACCTCAACACGCACTGCATCAATCACACGAGCACATCGGTAAGTAGACGGATACACACACACCCATGATGGCTGCGCAGCGCCATCATTGTGCTGACTGACGCACCCAGCAGATTGTCCCGCTCGCTGATGGTAAGCCAGGCGACGAACGAGTGGGCGGCGTCGGTCAGCACCAACTGGCACTCGAAGCGTGCAGGGGCCCCGTTGCCTGAGGCGGGTGTGCGGTAGTCTGTGGTGGTCGTGCAGCCCTCCAGTGGCTCGTGTCAAGATGGCGTGCAGCCGACCGCCATCAACGTGCCTGATTGATCCATCAACCCACCCACCCAGGGATGACAGACAGACAGACAGACAGGCCACATTGCACAATTAAAGGCACACACGAGGGTATTATGCTATGCGGTGTGCGGACCTGACTGACCTGTCGACGAGTGTGTGGGTGTGATAGATACGATGCGCGATGTGTCGAGGGCCGATGGCGCATCGACTACAGAGAGGAATACGCCACAGGTGGGTCACTGACCACATAGTTGCACTCCTTCTGCCGCCCAGGAGAGGCCCATGGGTCCACCGTGGTGTACTGGATGGGGCTGCTGACGGGTGGGTCATTGGGCTGTCGATGCTGGTGGTAGTGGTGGGGTGTGGCAGAAGGGGGTGGGTCAACCGTCAGCCGAAACGCAGCCTCGTCACGAATGACACGCACATCTGAAGTGAAGGCACAATCAGTCAGACATTTGCAATGATCCAAAAAAAGAGAGGGCTGACTTGCTCTGCCTTGTGTCAGCCGCTGGCTCACCCACCTTGCGTGTCGGCACCGTGCTGGAAGACTTTGAGTTGCTCGCCGGCAAAGATGTGGTGGCCCACCATCTTGGGCTGTGCCAACACACTCGGCTGAGCCAAGCATGCCTGCATGCAGTCAGTCAATGAATGCATCCCCACACACACCAAAAATGATAAGCTGCCTGACGGCCGCACAGTCAGTCAGTGAGCCAGCCTTCCTTCCTTGCTTACCGCAGGCGACAGTGACCATGATGGGCAGCCGCTTGCGGCACTGCCCCGCCAGCTGCAGAACCTCACGCACCCCGCCCCAGCCGCCCTGAGGCGCCTCTATCACGCAGACAGATGGCCTTGAGCAGATTGCGCACATTGAGCTCGTCAGCGAACTGCAGCAACTCCCACGCTGGCTGCCCATCGCCGCCATTTCGACGCAGGCCAGCCGTGTCCAGGGAGCGGTTGACCCGAGCGTAGCTGAGTCTTGTCAGGCCTTCTCTTGTCGACTCTCTGACGGGCTCGAGAATGTCACACAGGAAGACCGCACTCAATCATCGGTGAATCGCCGATGCGCCTCGTCGAGCTACTTCCGAGCAGCGAGAGCGAGAAAGTTGCGAGCTTGGCGCCGGGGTTGCAGATCTTCCCCCTTGGCGAACAATGAAGACCTTGTTGAACAGCATCCAGGCTGCTGTTGGCAGCCTCCTGCTGCAGGTGTTTCCGCTGACGGTTCTCGCCTTCCACCCCTCTCGCAGCATCGTCAGACCGTCGCCTCGCCACTCCCGCCCTCTCGCACACCCAACAACCACCGATGTGCCACGTGTCATGGCTCGCGTCACGGGTCGCGTGTGCAACGCGCTGCGTCGTAGCCCTGGCCGTTTCAAGAAGGCCATCAGCCGGAAGACAGGAGAGACAGAAGGATCGGTCGACCGACGGATATCCGAGAACCGTGACCAGGGGGTGACGTCTTACCAGAACCTGATTGTGCACAAGGATGAGCTCATGGACACCTTCATCTACGATTGGCTTAGCGAGAACCACAAGTTCCCCCCTGTGACCATTTTCGAGAACTACGCCGGCCAGGCACTCTTCAACAGCGGCTTTGAGAAGGTCTGGACTTACCAGTATGTATGTATGCTGCATGACAGTCCTCGACAGGGAGTGCACTTGTCTCTCTCTCTCTCTCTCTGTGTGTGTGTGTGTGTGTGTGTTTGTCAGGCGCACGTGTGACTACCACATGCACCAGCAGATTGATGCGTTGGGAGATATAGTCGAGACGCGGCCCCTTGATCGGGTGGGTGTGAGTAGACAGACACTCAGTGAGTGGACCGATCGGTTGGTGCGGTGCGTGTGTGGTGGCAGCTGGTGGATTACAAGCTGCGTGTGATGTTCGACGCTCACAACAAGTGCTGCACAGATGACCGAACCTTCGCCGAGTTCTACAAGGGCCTGGTGGACGAGATCAGCAAACGTAGGGATCTGTGTAGGCCTAAAGGGTGGGGATTGGTTCGACTGGCGCGCATCGTCAAGCGTGTCAGTCTTCTCTGCCTCTCTCTCTGAATGTGTGTGTGTTACATCCATCAGCTGAGCACAACATGATGGGGGGGTATATCGGCGGCTCGATCTGCCTCAGCATGCCCCAAGACGACTGCTGCTGTGCGATGGCAAATCAGACAGCCACACACACACACACAGACAGCCAGAGAGAGAGAGAGACAGCGACCTGCCCACCGATTAATTACCCCCCTGTGTGTGTGTGTGTGCAGGAGATTATCTGCGGGTTTATGGGCTGGGGGACGTGGCGCAAGCGTCTGACAGACGAAGAACTAAGGGCGGTTCAGCAGTGGCAAGAGAACCGGCCCGCATCGGTCCGCGGAAGACAGACGACGTCAGCAGGTCGCGTGTAGCGGCGGGTCCATGCTGAAGGAGTGAGGATGAAGAGACAGACACACAGACAGACAGACACACACACACACACAGAGAGAGAGAGAGACAGCGACCTGCCCACCGATTAATTTCCCCCGTGTGCGCGTGTGTGCATGTGTGCGTGTGTGCGTGTGTGCAGGAGACTATCTGTGGGTCGATGGATGGCAAGTGGCCGTTTGTGCATAGTTTCGCCTGCCGCTGTCCTTTCCGCAGAGACACTCATGTCGTGTTTGTGCGCGTGGTGTGTGAGATGGCAACAGGGGATGGACTCATAACACGCGTTGGTTGGGGGGTCACAAACCGATCAGTTCAGAGTGGGAATATCAGTCTGTCTGTCTGTACAGGCATTCAGACACCTCAAACTATACAAGCTCATTCGCACACACACAGCCGCCCGGCCCCTCAGAACATGTCCAAGAAAGAACCAGGCTACACCGACTGCAGCAATGCATGCCACCACACCCGTCTGCATCCTTTGCTCATCAGTCAGTCGATGAGCTCAAAGAAATCATCACTTTCCAGCACACAGAACGACCGCAGAAGACGGCGCGACACGTGGGGACGCAGCATCGACCTGTTTACACACACACACACACATCCATATACACCGACTTGTGGGTGTCAGTCAGCTATGTCCTCATTCAGCCTTACTGAAGGGAGCCGGGCACTTCGCCGAGGATGCCGAGGGCAGCGGCGCCCCACAAGAACACCACGCCCAGGGAGGTCAGCAGGTGGGTGCCCTTCTCGACATTTGTCAACTGATTGACAGACAAACACAGACAGACAGACAGACAAACCAGGCATGCGCTCGTCCACATTCAAGCCACCAGGTTTGCCATAGATCCTTCTCTGTTTGTGTGTACAGTGAATATGGGCTGGGCGCACCACCACACGTGCCGCACCGTCCCAACCAGAATAAAGTGCCCCCCCAAAAACAACAGGGACAGCCCTGCCAGGTCAGAGCGCCTGCACAACACACAAAATCACCATCAGAACGAACAGACGCTCATGGGGCATCTCCTCACCAGTCTCTCGGCGAGAGATTGAAGACCGCCACGGACGCGACAGTCGTGATGACGCCGTTCCTCGTCCATGAAAGGTACGAGTTCTCTGCGGACAGGTACATGACACCCACACGCGGATCTCCCCACCGCCCCGCCACACATGGTTTGCTCTCGGGGTTCTCGGCCTCCACTCCCTTGCGTGATGTCATCAGGCGCCTGAGGGCCGCCCTCCGATGCCGCAGAACCATCGAGGGCCGCTGCATCTCACGTGAACACAGCCCGGCGCTCCTCTCCTCTCCCCTGCCCGAAGAGCATGGCAAACACAGGCAAACACAGAAGAACGATTCATGAAAATGGTGAGGGCATGCCCTTTCATTCCCCTTGCCTTTGGCAATGCGTTCTTCCCCACACAAGGGAGGAACTGATTGTTTCAAGCTCGCAAATGTCGCCACGACAGCTCGCGATGAAAAGGGGGGAAAACCGACGATGTGATGTTCGCCAATCGGTTGCGGCAGTACGTGCACTTGCCTCGCAGCTTTTGCGGGTATTCCTTAGCGTTCGGCATCAAACTCGGATGCGGCCTTCAGCTCCTTTATGGCATCTTCGGCCTCGCGGCCTCTCTGGACAACTTCGTGATGACGGGATGGCCACCCAAGGGCATATTCGCGGTCAAGAACGATGTTCTGGTGAGAGAGCAGAGAAGGGGAGGCAGAGTGCTTCGTGGTGGGTGCTCAGTGTGTTTGTGTGTGTGACGCGTGTGTGCAGCTGTCGAACATCGAGGGTCAGCATCTGTTCTGCGAGCTGCTCCTTGCACTGGCTGCGTCGCTGCTCGTCGGTACGTCGCCCACACACAGCGGATGGATGGAGAGGGGAAGGCTCTATGTGCCATCTTTCCGGTGGATGTGCACAGGTGCATTGATCGGCTTCGCCGGCATAGCAGCGCTGAGCATTCCTCTGCTGAGTATCTATGCGGGATGGGCCACACTGTCGGTGCCTCTGCTCTTCGCTGCCGACGCACACCACAGGTGCACACACACACAGACCCGCACATACACCACAGGAGGATAACCAATACCTCCGTTCTCGATTGCTCCCGTTCAGTCGCACTCTCTGCGTGACCGAGGTTACTGCAGCTGACGACCCGGAGAACGATGCCTGCAGACGGATGATCGGCATCAACATCGCCGACTCGATATTCAAGGTCATCGCCGGCAGCTACATCGCCGCCGTGGCTGTGTCAGCCTGCAGGCGACTGAGCGTGGGTGACTTCGTGACCGTCTGTGTGGGCCCAGCCGGCATGAGAGAGCTTGGGCCGCATGACGCTCACGGCATGAGTCTGATGGATGAAGCCGACGACCAAGAAACGGATGTGGGCGACGGTCGGGGGTTTGTGCGGGATCACCATCATCCTGTCTTTTCGCCATTTGAGGTGGATCAGGCGGGATAGATGGATAGATGGGCGTCTAGCCGAGAGCGATGGGCGATGGATGGTGTGACACGAAGGGCGGAGGGACGGGAGGATGGATGGGCGCCATGGAGGGGCAGCTGGGAGGTGCATTTAGGCATTTTTGTGTGTGTGCATAGAAGTGAGTGGAGGTGACCCTTTAGTGAAAGACCTTGACGACATGACCACAATGTGGGTCGGCCACATCAATTCTCTCCTTCTCTGTTGTTGCTGAATGGTGTGTGGGCGAGACGAGCATCGTATTCAGTGACTGTACAAGCACATGGATCACGTGTCAATCCATGAAGGAGACAGTGTTTGTATCGACAAGCCCACCCCCACCCCGGTGAATGTCAATACGTAACTGCTACCCCATCACCGCGACTCTTGACGGCGCTTCGCACGTTGCGCCTCAGCATTCAATTTCGCATGCTCCTTCGCTGCAAACCAAAATCACACGTACAGTACAGCTTCCCGACCTGCTTCTCTGCTTTCGAAGCTTACGTGGCATCCATTGTAGGTTGGACGCCTCATTGTTGGCTGGATTCCCATCCACATGATGCACATCGAGGTCATCATCTGCGTAGCCCTCCTTCCTCCACCTGGCTAGCTCATGAGGGCGCCACAGGGTGGCCACAATGCGGTGCACAAGGATGCTCTGCCCGGCCAGCTCGACTCGCAAGTATCCCGTCACGGTCTTGGTGCCGCACGTCACCCGCCCATTCACGTGGCGAATCCGACCCATGTTTGACACCATTGGCAGCCTCTTCTTCTCCGGGAAAAGATGCTTCAGGAAGCCAATGCTCCGGAAGCGCTCGCCCTCAATCTTGTCCGGCTTCTCGAAAGCAAAGACCCACTCCTTCATCACCGACGGATACATCATGTGAGCCTCCATCTTCCGTCGGATGACGCTCTTGCGGAAGACAGCGGGGGAGATCTTGAAGTGCTTGGCCGCCAGCATCGTGCTTCTGAATGTCAGCACCTCGCCAGAGGTCCTATTAGTGGCCGTCACTTGCCGTGCAGAGCTCATCAGAGGCCGCGGCCGAGGCAGGTCGCTCTCGACGGTCTTGCGGCGGTGCTGAGCAGGCGTCACCCACTGCAAGTTCGACGCAGCATTGTTGACCTTGTTGCCGTCAATGTGGTCGACATGCAGCGTCATCTCGCCAGCTTGTGCGATCAGCTGCTCCTTTTGCTCTCGATGGAAGGTCTCAGCCACAAGCCGATGGACGGCGTAGCGCTTCTTGTTGACGTTGACTCGCCGATAGCCGTCCTTCTCGAGCGTGCCCCACGAGACCTTCCCGTCGCCGTGGAGCACTCTGCCTCTATTGGACACCTGGGCGCCCGTCTTGGACCGGCCGTCGAAGCCAGGGATGAGCCGAAACTCCTCCTCACTCTCATTCTCAGCAGTTGCACCATCGGCAGCGCCAGCATCACGAGCCCCAGTGAAGCGGCGGTGCTGAGTGAGGCATTGCCACGAGGAACAGAAGGGGAAGGGGGAGAGATGAGGGAGGGGCAGCCAGCGAGGGACACATGGTGGGCTGGCCGTCAGTCGGGCAGACGGGAGAGAGCTCGAGAGCCACCGGCAGCAGGGAAGATGCACCGCGCTCGACGCTTTGACAAACAGACTCATCCAACCTGCAGGGAAGACACAGACGCCCGAAAGGAATGCAGCGTCGGGTTGCACCGCTCACCCAGCGATCAGAGCGATCATTGGATCACCTTTCCCAGCTCTGTGCCATATGGCTGTGGTCGTGCCGTCTGACACCGGGCTGTTGTCAGCTCCGACATAGTCTAGTCGGTTAGGATACACGGCTCTCACTCGCGGGTCCCCGTGAGACTCGGGTTCGATTCCCGATGTCGGAATGTTTGTACCGGGATCATGCGTGCAGCTGATTCACATGCTGTATTGCTGCTGCACTGATGGGCATTCGCCTCACGCACAGCTCTGCCTATCCCCAGAGCAGCGGGGAGTCCACCACGAAGATCTGCGTTTTTGAGCTCGCAGGTTTTTCTCTTCCGCCGCCCGCGTTAAGCCAAGCAGCAAGCAGATCCTGTAGAGCGTCGTCATGTCTGCCAACCGGCGGCAGCAGCTGTCCCAGCCTCCCCGAGATGGTGCGTCGGTGGAGCACTCGTCCAAGCCCGACATCCGCCGGCGGTCCGCCACTCCCACACCCATTCTGCGCCTTCGCATCAACGCAGACACCAACGAAGTCACCGTCGATGAAGACTCCGCCCAGAGACCGACGGATGCGGCTGCCCCCTCGTCGTCTGCGGGTGAAGACCAGCCTGTGCTGAGGATTCCTGAGCGGTTTCGTGTCAGAGCACCGAGGAGCACCGCGCGAGTCGACGAGCACGACTCACACGTCGAGGTGAGAGGGCGGGAGGCGGTCAGATGTCTGGCTGGCTGGCTGGCTGGCTTTTTGTTGACGACTCTGTGTGTGTGCTTGTGTGTGTGTGTGTGTGTCTGTTTAGGTGTGGGACAGCAACGAGTCAGGTCTGACATGGGGCGAGAAGCGCTCACGCGATGGCACATGGGCAGAGAAGTGGATGCAGCAACAGCGGTAGGAGCCACCCGCACCAAGCCAACACACAACCAAAGGTCACCCTCTGCTTTGTGTGTGTGTGTGTGTGTGTGTGTGTGATGTGTCTGTGTGTCCAGCAAGGTGCGCAACGATGATGGGACGGAGAGGACGGTCGTCAGCGGCCGCAACAACGGATGGAACGCAGACAACGGACACAAGTGAGCTCTGCAGCCACCAAACAAACACAAACAAACCGCAGCCAGCCACTGTGCGTCATTCCTCAGGTGGACAGAAAAGTGGGAGAAGGACGGCTTGACGCTCAAGATCCACAAGAGCGTGCAGAAGGTGGACCGCAACGGTATGGTCATCGAGGCCTGGGAGGAGGAGATCGAGGAGACACTCATGTCCGTCATCGCCGAGGACGGACACACCACCAAGCACATCCCCATCACTCAGGCCATCCGCAAGCGGGGGCAGTGCGAACTCACCGGCAGACAGTGGCAGGTAGGTACCACACCACCCACAACAAACACCGACACACAAGGGGGAGGCCTGAGGGGTCATGTCCTTTCCCCTCACGTGCCTGTCCATCAGGAGGGCACATCGTTTGAGAAGGAGAAGGTCGACAGCTTCGAGAGTGACGAGCACGGCCTGATCGAGACCAGCTTCCAGGGCGAGTTCGAGGAGCGCCAAGGCAACCTGCGACGGGGCAAACGAACCAGGAGAGGTGAATACACACGAACCAATGGCAAGGACAGCATTTGCCACAACACACGTCCATGTCTCTCTATCGTCAGATGCCGAGGGTACGTCATTCAACGAGGTGTGGTTCCGTGAGGTGAACGGCAGCGGCAATGTGCTGGACGAGTGGACCGACCGGTGGCGCGACAACGCCGACGGCACCAAGTGCGGCGAGAAGAAGGGCCGCAACACACTGGGCGAAAAGTGGCACGAGAGATGGGTCGAGAGGGACGGCGACAGAGAGGTCGACAAGTGGGCGGAAACCGCTGACTCAAGACACCGGTACAAACCAAACACCATCCATCACCCATAGTGCGACGTGTGTGGCTGGCTCATGTATCAGATGGGGTGAGAAGGCCGGCACGAGTCACGACGGCACGCAGTACAACGAGAAGTGGGAGCGGACAGCGGAGGACGGCCGCGAGAAGTACTTCCTCGACAAGTGGTGGTCGCACCCCGACGGCGGCAGCTGGGGCGAAAAGGCCGTCGACGTCCACCACCTCGATGTGCGCGGCGCCAGGGGCGCCGGTGCCGCCACAGACGACCACATCGACTCCATATGCAAGGTCACCAAGTCACAGGTAGGTGGGGCAATACCCAGGCAAATCAATAAGGTGTGGGATGACGACAAGCACACGCTGTGTGCTGGTGTGTGTTTGTTTCAGGAGTATCGCGAGAAGTGGTACGACAACGGCACCGAGAAGGTCATCGACAAGTGGGAGACGTGTACGGCCTTCGACACCCCCGACGGCCCGCCATCAGCCATCGAGGAAGACATGGTCTACACGACCACATCCGCCGCCGCAGCGCATGCAGACGACAGCAAGGCCGTCATCGCCGCACTCCAAAACGGAGAGAAACGACTCGTCATCAAGGGCACCGCAAAAGAGATCGTAAGAAGAGAAGCGAGCCAGAAGGACACCCATGCTTGGATTATCCTTGCTGTCTGTCTGTCTGTCTGTTCAGGTCAAGAACGGTGAGAAGAGCGGCCACCGTTACAGCGACTCCATGTCGTGGGGGGAGAGATGGGGCGAGTCCTTCGAGCCAAAGTGGGACGACCTCCCCACCACCACAACCACCAGCAGCAGCACCGAGACCGAGGTGCTGCCCCGCCCCACAGCGTGGAAGCCCGACGTCTGCCTGACGGGCCGCATCGCCAAGCCCGCCGACAGTGAGGGTGAGGCTGCATCTGCCAGCACCACCGACGAGCACCGCGAGATACTGAAGCTCCGGGTGCGCCACTGGGACAAGTGGTGGAGGGAGGGGTCGGGCAACAGCTGGGGCGACAAAAAGTACGTAAGAGTCCTGACCACCGCACACAGAGAGAGAGAGACCTACCAGGGCGGTAAATTCGGCTGTTGTGTGCGTCACACCCACTCATAGGTTCGAGGATGTGCGTGAGAGTCGTTCCAAGGAGGAGAGGTGGTACGACAACGGCCTGGAGAAGCAGGTGGACCGCTGGGAGACCCGCGCTGACGGCAGCAAGGAGGGCGAGAAGTTCGGCAGCCGAGTCGACGGCACCCAATGGGGCGAGAGGTGGGGGGCGGGGCCGGCCGGGGACGGCGAGTGGGTCGACAAGCACTGGACCGTCCAGGGCGATGACGGAAAGGTAGGCAGACCAGGCCGTCAGCCAGCGAGGCAGATCAGATGCGACTCGGTCGGTTTGTTTTGTCACTCGTCGCTCACAGGCTCACTCTTGGGGCGAGACGTGGGGCAACGAGGGCGGCAAGCGATGGTTCCAGAAATGGGGCAGGGCTGAGGTGAGACCAAAGGCAGGCAGTTCGATCTCGATCTATGAGTGGAGAGTCACCTTCTTTCACCAATGTGTCTTTTCTCTGTCTTTGTCCAGGGTGGCGGTGAGGGTGAGGAGTGGACAGAGAAGTGGGACGACGACGGCGCGGGCAACACCAAGACCATCAAAGAGGGCACCGCATGGAGGTACGTCACGTGTCCACATACGCTGCGCAACGCAACACAGCACATGTGTCTGTCACTGTGTCTGTCACCCTCCCTCTCAGGGCTGGCGAGTTCGGCGGCCGTGAGGTGACGAATTGGTTCGCCGATCGGTTCGGTGAGTGCGCCGACCAGAGCGAGAAGTGGGCCTTCAAGGAGGGATACAACGCTGGGAGCGGCGACAAGTGGATGGAGGTCAGCCAGACAGACAAGACAGGGAGGGAGTCAGGGAGGGAGGGAGGGAGGAGGGCCAACACACGAGCGTCTGATGCATCGATGTGGGGTTCTCTGTGTGTGTATGTTTGTGGCTGGCCGGCTTGCAGAAATGGAACGAGAAGCCTGGACACAAGATGGCACAAAAGACCGGACAGAACGCGTAAGTGTACCGTACCGCTGTGGTGATTGCCCCTGCAGGCCATGAAAATCCACTGTCTTGTCTTGCTTCCTTTTGATGGTTCGTCGTTCCATCCATCCATCCATCCCTCCCTCCATCCATCAGTCGTGGCGACGCGTGGGAGGAGCAGTGGTCCGAGCAGCTCACGCAGAAGGGCCTCGTCAAGTTCGCAGAAAAGAAGGGACACAACGCACAGGTCAGTCAGTCCTATCATATCGCCCCGCCATCCATCAGCCATCAGCCCTGTGTGTCTGTCACTTTGATTGATCTCAGGGCGATGCGTGGTTGGAGACGTGGCTGGAGGAGAACGAGAACAAGAAGCGCGCCAAGAAGACGGGCCGACGGGCCAGCGGCGACCAGTGGGAGGAAGAGTGGGGCGAAGACATCTCACTCGATGGAGCTGGTACAGTACACAACTACACCCACACCCACACCCATACCCACACACATACCCACCGCCACACACGTGGTCTGGTCCCCTTGCTGGCTGGTTGTGCAGGCGAGAAGTGGACCTCCAAGTGGGCATCCAACGCGCAGGGCGACCGGTGGGGCAACAACTGGGGCGACCGATGGGGCGTGGGCGGCATCGGCGGGCACAGGTGGGTAGAGAAATGGCACAACGAGGACATCGACAAGTGGTCAGGAGACACCGCAGGACGGCCAGCGGGGTGCTGACAGACCATGACAGACAGCGAGGGCGTCGGTTGCGCTTCATGGCTGATGGGGTGCTTTATGATGATGGGATGGTGGGATGGTGTCTGTCTGTAAGTGAGAAGGGCACGCGTGAGCGAGAAAAGTCCTCCCGTCCTGACTGAGTGTGTGATGCATCCATCGGTGTGTGTATCATTCATCATTTTTCTCGCCTTCCGTATCCCTCCCTCTTTGAATGTGATGTGTTGTGTGTGCGTGTCGTCACCCCTCCCACCGACCCCCAGTTAAGTCAGTGGCTGTGTAGACGTACGTGTGCATCATATATATATGGCATTTTTACAGCCAGCCAATTGAGAGGACCTCGGTGAGTGAGTCCTCCTTTATCCACCTACCTTTATTCTCGTGTGTGTGCATCTATCTCTTATATATCAGTGCATCTGCATGTATGTGCCCTACCATACACACCTTACTTGCGTATGTTATGTGTGTGGAATCCACGGACGACGACAAGCTTCTGTTTGTTGGGAGTTTCTGCCTGCAGGGTTTCTCGTGTGCATGGCTGCGAATGTGTTTTCGTGTCGCAATTGCGTGTGAGTCTGTGTGTCTGTCTGTGTGTGCGAATGTGTGCGCGTGGGAGACCGTGTGGATGAGAGCGGCAAGCTGTTTGTCAGCTGCAGATACATAACTTTCTTTATCGTTAACTGTCGTTTGGGAGAGCCGTCCTTCCAGCTCCCCGTTGGTACGTAATAAATGTGTGTGCAGGTTGGTGTGTGTGAGAGGGTGCGGTCGGTGTGCAGGAGTGAGTGCACTCGTGGCACACACACACACACGCAGACAGACAGACACACACACACACACACACACAGAGAGAGAGAGAGGCACATGCGCAGTGCACGCCCTCCCTTGCTCCCTCTTTGCACACACAGCCCACCCCTGCGCACATCCGTGTGTGGGAAGGTGCCTGCCTGTCTGCCACGCACTGCTGCACACGCGCATTCACGAAATAATTCGCAAAACCTACGCATAATTAGGGTTTAGCTGAGCACCTCAGCCGCCGCCCCGCCCCCCTGGAATGGGAAAAAGCCTCAAATCAGAGAGAGTTTACAGTTGCGAGCTTGAGTGGTGCTAGGGGTCGCTAGCACATGCTCTCTCCGAAAACACAACAGCACCAGAGAGGCTCACACACACAGAGGCCACACACGAAGCGAGAAGCAGCCAGAAGGCCCCCCAGCTGACATCTCTCTCTGTCTGTGTGTGCCTGTCTTCAGGAAGATGCTGCCCATTCTCAGCGATTCGGCAATCCTGTGAGGTGCCCTAGCAGAGTGCTTGTGACCCATTGATGAAGGCCTAGGGGTGAGCTGGAGAGACCCCCATGTGTCCTACAAAGCCATCTCCCAGGCCTACCCTAACATGGTTTCCATCAGGAGCCCGACGACCCACACACACGCCCTCCCGCCTTGTCCTTGCTAATGCCTAAACCGCCAAAGTCAAGTCATCTCACACACACGACCTCAGCTTCTGCCTTGTCTTGCTTGTGATTTATGGTTCGTCGTTCCATCCATCCATCCATCAGTCGCGGCGACGCGTGGGAGGAGCAGTGGTCCGAGCAGCTCACGCAGAAGGGCCTCGTCAAGTTCGCAGAAAAGAAGGGACACAACGCACAGGTCAGTCAGTCCTATCACCCCGCCATCCATCTGCCATCAGCCATGAGCCCTATGTGTCTGTCACTTTGTTTGATCTCAGGGCGATGCGTGGCTGGAGAGCTGGCTGGAGGAGAACGAGAACAAGAAGCGCGCCAAGAAGACGGGCCGCCGCGCCAGCGCGACCAGTGGGAGGAAGAGTGGGGCGAAGACATCTCACTCGATGGAGCTGATAAACTACACAACTACACCAACACCCACACCCACACCCACACCCATACCCATACACACCGCCACACACGTGGTCTGGTCCCCTTGCTGGCTGGTTGTGCAGGCGAGAAGTGGACCTCCAAGTGGGCATCCAACGCGCAGGGCGACCGGTGGGGCAACAACTGGGGCGACCGATGGGGCGTGGGCGGCATCGGGGGGCACAGGTGGGTAGAGAAATGGCACAACGAGGACATCGACAAGTGGTCAGGAGACACCGCAGGACGGCCAGCGGGGTGCTGACCATGACAGACAGCGGGGGCGTCGGTTGCGCTTCATGGTAGATGGGGTGCTTTATAATGGTGGGATGGTGGGATGGTGTCTGTCTGTCTGTGAGTGAGAAGGGCACGCGTGAGCGAGAAAAGTCCTCCCGTCCTGACTGAGTGTGTGATGCATCCATCGGTGTGTGTATCATTCATCATTTTTCTCGCCTTCCGTATCCCTCCCTCTTTGAATGTGTTGTGTGGTGTTGTGTGCGCGTGTCGCCACCCCTCCCACCGACCCCCAGTTAAGTCAGTGGCTGTGTAGACGTACGTGTGCATCATATATATATGGCATTTTTACAGCCAGCCAATTGAGAGGACCTCGGTGAGTGAGTCCTCCTTTATCCACCTACCTTTATTCTCGTGTGTGTGCATCTATCTCTTATATATCAGTGCATCTGCATATCATGTGCCCTACCATGCACACCTTACTTGCCTATGTTATTCATGTGTGTGGAATCCACGGACGACGACAAGCTTCTGTTTGTTGGGAGTTTCTGCCTGCAGGGTTTCTCGTGTGCATGGCTGCGAATGTGTTTTCGTGTCGCAATTGCGTGTGTGTCTGTCTGTGTGCGAATGTGTGCGCGTGGGAGACCGTGTGGATGAGAGCGGCAAGCTGTTTGTCAGCTGCAGATACATAACTTTCTTTATCGTTGCGCAATGAAGCTTATCAATCGATTCGTCAGTCCGTACTACCACAGAGCTTCTTACTACCACGAAGCTTCTTACTACCATAAACACGCATAAACACGCAATTCGGTCACTCATCCACCCATAATCCACACAAACCACCCCCTTCCCATCTCCTCTCCCTTTGCGCGCGCTGAGTTATGCTTGCGCCAATCAGCCCTTCGGCGGTGTCTTCCGGATTGTCACACCACCTCTGCCGCCCTCTTCACGCACCGCTCTCTCGGTAGCAGCCTCACCAGCATCGGCTGGCGCCAGAGGCTCTCCTTCCTGACTCCCCTCCCGGCTTTGCACTGGCGCCTCAGCTGCCCCCTCCTCCATCTCGGCGAGCTCGTTTTTCCTCTCTGCATCTTGTTGTTGGTGCATCAGCCTCTCCTTCCGCCGCCTGGAGGCCTCGTCCCTCTCCCTGACAGCCCGCCTCTCGAGGTCGATGATTTCCATGACCTGCAGCCACTTCTCCACCTCCGTCTGGTTCATCATGCGCTTGTCGGGGTTCCACGGCCACCTCTTGTATCCCAGGTGGACGTAGTGGGTCGAGTACTCGTGTCTGAAGCCGCGGTAGAACATCTCGTGGAGGATGTCGGGCCGTGTCCAGTGGTCGGGGTCAACGAGGCGGTGCGCCAGCAGCTGGGAGATGAAGCTGTTGAGGGTCATCTGCGGCGGAGATCCGAACGCGTTCTGCTGGAAGAAATCATGCGCAAACTTCCGCGTCGCTTTCAGCACCGAGCCGCGACGCAGTGAAGACGACGATGTCATGCTGAACGGTCCGAGGACGCAGGGAGGAAGCAGAGAGTGTAGTCTGCTTTCTTAGCTCGCAGAAAGCATCGCTTCTTCGTGAGATCCGGTCATGAGATGAATGGGCAAGCATCATCTCGCCCAGCACAAGCTCCGGCGGTTCGAGGCCGTTCTTCCCCTCTCAACGGAGCAGCTGGTCGTGGAGCAACGAGGGGGCGTGGGGGAGGCAGCGGAGCGTCACCAAGAAGGGACGATGGCGACCCAGCCGATGCCGACTCAGTCATTCATTCTTCAGACCCCAGCAAAACACCCCGAGCGGGCGGGAGGCAGGAGGCCGCAGCAAAACCAGCACCCAAGGCAAAGGCTGCAGCTGCTGCACCAGGGGGAAGGGCTCATGAGTGGCCGGTCCCCCTGCGGCTGGTGGTCAGACAAGGTGCCAACGACACCCCTGTCAGGTGCACGATGAAAAAGCAGGCAAGAGCCGGGAAGCTGTGCACTGCACTGCTTCTCCACACGAGTGGCTCGCTGTTGTGCTTCAGTGCCGAGGAGGTCAAGACTGCATATGCCAACGACACTGCGGCCTTCCCCTCTCATGTGCTCCACACGCTGCGCCTCTTTTTCTACCGGGAGGCACTCAAGGCCGCCCCCAAGATCATCAGACCGCCCACCATTCTCCGGTCAGAGGGCGACATTGGCCAGCTGGCCATTGTCATCAGGGAGCCGTTCAGCCGCGCCCGGCTGGTATGGCCGCATCCACCTGCAGCCGCCGCACCGGGTCATCAGCGGCCAATCCCTCCTGCTGGTGATCTGCCCCTGCCCGACCGGCTGCGGGAGCCCTTCCCGTCAGGGGCATTTCGGGCGACTGTGGACGAGGCGGCGATGCAGGGAGATCTGAAAAGCGTGCGCCGACTGGAGCTGAAAGTGCCGAGTGAGTCAGGTACGTTTAGAGAGAGTTGTGGGTGGGTGGATGGAGGGCGGATCAGGCAGTCGGCCTAGGCGGACAGACAAATGAGTGGGGATTTGTGTGTGTGTGTGTGTGTTTGTGTTTTGTGTGTGGATGTGTCAGACCTCCCCCTCTGTCCCGACGCGTTCGACAGCAGCAAGCACTGGGCGGAGCTCTACGAGGCGTACAGGAACAACCTCGTGAAATACGAGTGGATTAGCCCGACACACAACTGGTAGGCCACCACACACTGACTGACTGACAGACAGACAGACAGGCGGACAACAAGGCCGTATGTGCGACTAACGTCACCCACTGTGGTTGTGCCCTGGCCATGCATCCATTCATCCACCTCTCAGGGGGAAGGACTCATCCGGCATTCGGGATCTCATCACCGAGAAGCTGCAGCAGCTCCGGCAAGCGCTGGGTGACGACGGCTGTGCCGCCCTCCTCCCCGCCATGAGAGACGTCATCAACATCTACGCCTTCGAGAGGCAGCAGCAAGGCTCCGGCGGCAGACCAAACCCAGCGACCGACTGGTCGAAGGGCGTCCTCCTCTGCCGGCAGATCGATCAGGCGCGGGCCTTCCTGCGCATCCGCGTCTTCTACGTCGACAAGGATGGTGATCTCCCTGGTGCGGCTGCAGCGCTAGGCTGTGCTGCCAAGGGGGTGTTGCTCTTCACCCCGCTCTCGCACCCCTCGGGCTCCTCCCCTGAGCGCGTGTCGCCCACTCCTCGCGACCAGTCAGCCACTCCTCGCAGCCAATCCCCCACTCATCGTGGCGGGTCCCCCAAGCGCGGCGGCGTCTCCCCCAGGCGGCCTTCCGAGAGTCCCGCCCCAGTCGCCAACGCTGGACCCAAGCCCAAGGCTGCATCCAAGAGCAAACCCAAGCCCAAGCCAAAGGCGACGCCACCACCACCACCACCACCAGCTGCTGCCGCCGCTGCTGCTGCTGCTGCTACCACTGTTGCGCATCTGTCATTGGCCAAGGCCGGCCCGCCAGCCGCGGCCTCCCTGCCGGGCTCATCCCCCCGCTCTGGCGTGGACCGGGCGAGCAGCCTTATTGCAGAGCGGAAGGGCAGGCGTCATCACATCAACATTCTCGAGGGAGACGAGAGGGAAGGGGAGCAGGAGGCGCCGGCTGCTGCAGCCGCAGCGGCAGCGGCAGCGGCCGCGAGTCCAGGTTTGACGGGCAAGAAGCGCAAGCATGTGCCCCCTGAGACCGATGTGGCATCGTCACCGGGGGATAGTTTGAAGGGGGACGTCAGGGCCGGCATGTCAATTAAGAAGAACGGCAAACAGAAGAAGAAAAACAAGGACAAGGGCGCCAAGGAGGGCGGCAAGATGAAAGACAAGGACAAGGACAAGGACAAGGACAGGGACAGCCGCCCTCTACCCAAGGACACACCGAGCCGGCAGAGCAGCGTGGTCACGCTACCCAAATCACCACCCAAGAAACGACTGAAGCGACCCACATCTGAGTCCCCCGCACCAGCAGCAGCAGCAGCTGCAGCAGCTGCTGCGGCACCAGCCGGCAGCCCCCCTGTGGCCAATCTCACCAACGGTGACGACTCTGACGACGATGCCATCCTGCGGCGGCGGCCCAAGAAGCGGCAGCTCCGCTCGCTGGCAGGTGAGGATGAGGATGAGGATGAGATCGTGGCCACCTTTCGTGCGCGTCTCAAGGAGCTGGGCGAGCGGCTGGCGGCAAAGGACAAGGAGATGGATGAGGCCGTGAGGCGCTTCCAGGACAAACAGGCGGAGCTCATGAAGAAGCACGATGAGGCCGTCGTGCAGCTGCAGAAGGAGCAAGGAAAGAACAAGGAGAGCGAGTAAGCCGGTATTACACAACGAGAGAGACCCTCTCTGTCTGGTGGACATTCACGATCGTGTCCTTCTTCCTCCCCCACTCAGAGCGGAGCTGCACAAGCGTCAAGAGAAGTCCCAACAGCTCCAGGAGGAGTGCCAAAAGCTTCGGGAGGAGTGCCAACAACGTCAGGAGGAGTGCGATCGGCTGCACAAGGAACTTGATGCCATGACGATGAAGCTCAAGGCCAAGGAGGAGGCCCTCGAGAAGAAAGAAAAGGAGCTCCTCATTGCCATCAACGACCGAGACGTCGCCCAAGCAAAGGCAGACAAGAAGAAGAGGCGCAGGAAGCGATCCAAGAAGCAGGCTGAGGATGCGGCCTACGAGGAAAGTGACGATGACGATGACAAGAGCGATTTGACCGAGGAGGAGGCCAAGCGCCCGCGGCGGTCTCCACGATTAGAGGATGCCCTATCGCTCAAAGTGGCGTCGTCGAGGCGGCCAGCTGTGTTCCAATGTGGTGCGTGCAAGGAGAGGCAGGTGAGGTGCGGCACACAGAAGAACAAAAAGAAGGCTGGCAGGGGGCGTGCTCGCGGGATGGAATGGCTGTCTGTCTGCATGTGGCTGTCCCTACCTGTTGTAGATACACGGTGTGCTGACCCCATGTGGTCACGGGCTCTGTGAACTGTGTCTGCACAAACACTTCGACTCCACCGCCCCGCCCCGCCTGCAGGAGCCCCAACCAGCAGCAGCAGCGGCCGCCAGCCCCTCTTCTCCGCGTGCAGAGGAATGCCCCGTGTGCTTCGGAGCAGTGCAAGGCTTCATGCCCATCAACACGTCAGCCAGGGCCCCGGGCAACTTCATCCGATTGGGCAACGCACTGGATGAGATGGGCGAGCTGCTCATGCTTGTCAAGCAGCAGCACTCGAAATCACGTGCCGGGAGCAATGCCCCATCGTCGGTGCGCGAGGGCGACGACAGAGGCAGGGCTGACCGGATACCACAGAGGCAGCGGGGCGTGCCTGCGGTCAAGAGCGAGCCATCCGTGGCAGCAGCGGCTGGGGATGGGGGCGGGGGCGGGGAGGAGATGGGCGGGGAAGCGGCCGAGTATGAGTACATTGCTGAGCCGTTTGGTCAGGGGGGCGACTCGAGCGCTGATTCATCATTCAGGGCGGAATCGAAAGTGAGCAACGCAGCACATAACAGCACAGGACAGCAGAGCGAACATGGCATCCATTCACTGTTTCTGTGTGTGTGTGTGTCAAACAGGATGGCCTCATCGATAAGCTCTATCACGTCAGCGAGCGAAACACCGAGGATCAACGCAGCTACCTCCGTGGTTTGCTGGACGAGGTGATAGGGCAGCAGGGCGGCGTGTATGTGGCCAGCAGGGGACGCCAGTACATGATCTCGAAGCGGCGCAAATGAATGAATGAGTGAATGATGGATGGATGGAGGGAGGGATGAGTGTTCGAGTGAAAGGCCGGGTAGGTTAGTCGGCTGTGGTTGGAGTACTCAGCTGTAGCTGACTAGGGAGGGGTGTGTGTTCGTCGTATATAGTCACTAATGGCGCTGTAATGGCATTTGACGATCTGTGGCGGCTGTACAAGCTTGACGGCACTTCGAATGCACCAGCTCAGGATTTCCACGCACAACCACACGACGAAGTCAACACACGAGTCACTGAAAAAGCCAGCTGCTGTCACTCGTCATGATAATCTCAGCATAATGTAGCGAGGGTCTTGCCGCTGCCGCTGTCGGCATGGAGTGATATGGTCCTCAGCGTGCTTCGTATTGCATCACTGAAGACAGACAGACAGACAGACGGACGGCCATGACACACAGCACACTCACTCACTCACTCACACAGGGAGAGATGTGATGAGTGCCTTTTGCCTTACTTTTCCGAGTCCGTTTCTTGTAGAGTATTCTGCATCCACAGTTACGACACCTGATGGCATCGGTGGGCTTCAGCTCCACATCACGACCACACTCTGTTCAAAGCAATCACACACACGCACAGGCAGACAGGCGCGATGAGAGCAGGAGCCGTTTGGTCTATCTTCCATCCATCACCAAAAGGCATTCTCGTGCGTGCACGAGTGCGTGTGCATGTGTGTGTCGGCGGATCTTCCTTCCTTCTGCTGACCTCCACAGATGTAGACGACGGCCGGCGTCGTGTCCGTGTTCATCGCGCTGATCTCTGAACACAAATGGCTTGTTTGTCACTCAGCTGCCTCCCGGTAGACCTGGAGAGGAGTTTCGGCTTCTCCGCTCTTGCGAGCTTGGCGTCTGCGAGCTTAGCGGAAAAGAGGCAAGAGTGGCGAGGAAATGGGTGAGTAAAGCTTATTGGGTTGATCCGTTACAAGAAGGGCGGTATTCCTCTCCAGCAGTGTCCAAAGTGCTCTTGTGGTGAGCTCACGAGCGACAGCAGTGACAGTCCCAGGGTTCACACGCCGCGCCGCTTGTGTGTCTGCAGAGATCTGATACGTAAGCCGATACATACGGCCACAACGGCACGAAGATCTGGCCTGCCTCTGCAAACAAGCGCCACTAGACCGAGGGGCGCAGGACACGATGGACAGCAATGAGGCTGGCGGTGAGAACGAACAAAACAGCATCGGACAAAGTGTTGTGCTGATGTGTTGTGTTGCCTTCCTTTCACTTCAGGTGCTGTGCCGGTGGGCTGTATAGGCGTCGATGACCTCGAGGCTGTGGTCCCCAGGACCACCAATGAGGCCACCAAGGAGCTCGTCTGGCGAACCCTCCGCCGCAGCTTCACCAGCAAACGCCAAGTGACCCGGCTCATCAAGCAGGGCGCCGATCCCCATGTCAAGCCTCGCCTGCGCCGCAAGGGCAGCTTCAGCCGCGGCCGCAAGTACTCGATGCTGGTCCTGTGCATCGACGACAGGAGCGACTACACCATCCAAACCATCGAGACTGGTTATTGTCCCGTCGCTCTGCCACGTTGGCCCAGAGGGCTGCAGCGAGGCATCCTCAACGCCCTCATCGACGGAGGCAGGGGCAGCGACGCCACAGAGGTCTTCGAGTGGACCACGCCCACGTGGATGGCGGTGGCATCTGGCAATACGGACGCCTTCAGGCTGCTGGTGTGGCGATTGGATCTTTCTGTCGTGTACGTGCCCGAGGTGATGGAGCTGCCGCGGCCGCTGCGCCCGCCCCCCACTGAGTACCAGAAGAGGCTGCTGCTCACGTACCGCACCCTCATCCAACACAGCTCCAGCGAGTTCGCCACTGATCAAGCACACAGGCTCGGCAGACAGCTGGTCGGGGCCGCGGCCGAGCGGGCACAGGGCCAGTATACGCCAGAATTCATCAACGGCTACCTGGATCTCATGACGCAATACGGAGTCGACGTTACGCCAGCGGGCGACGGTCTCTCAGACACGCCACTGCACTTGTCGGCACAATATGGCTCTCCCTATGTGGCCGACTACCTCTGCCGCGAAGTGCCTGACGTCGAGGACATCAACAGACCGTGCGGCCACCACACCGCCACACCCCTCTACCTGGCTGCCGAGGAGCTTGTCAGCCAAAGCCGACAGCTTCGACGGAGGGGGACAAACAAGGAGGAGTGTCGAGTCAAGATCAAGAACTACACGCTCATCGTCCATTCCCTCCTGCGAGCGGGCGCTGACATCTCAATGATAGGGGCATACCCCGTCTTAGGCCTTGTTCGTCGTCAGCGGGTCCTGAAGGAGTACGTCAAGGTGCTGAATAAGCTGCGGTACGACGTCATGGTTGCCATCAACGGAGCCCTGCGGCCACACCGCGCACTGGCGGTCCTGCTGACCCACCTGCTGCCCGTCGCACCCCACCATGACGGCGCCCACCCCCACCCCGCCCCTTCTGGCATGTCCTTCGGCGACAACGAGGCAGAGAGCATCGCCTGGCACATCGCCGCCATGTGCTGGGACAAGCGAGAGGCATACGACGCCCTCTCGGCCGTCAAGCTGCGGGCCCACAGCGTGCTGGGCGGCCGCCTGCACGCGGCCATGCGGCAGTTCATCGTATCAGCCGTCACACAAGCGGCCAGCAACAACGAGGTGGTCGGAGGGACACGGCCAGTGCAGCAGCAGCAGCAGCAGCAAGACACAGAGGGGGAGGATGAGCAGGGGGCGAAACGCAGCAAGGTGTCCGTGCCGCCCCTGCAGTGCTTCGCTCTCGCCGACGGGGCCGACAGCCGTCCGCCTCACGTGGTGAGCAAGCCGCGGCGTCTCGGCCTCAGGGAGGTGGTGCACCGTGCCCGCCTGGACGAGGTGGCAATGTATCAGCTGGAGGGTGTGGAGAAGGGCTTCAACACCCACCTCGGCGACTGCGATTGCCTGTTCGAGTGGCAGCACCTGGGTTACATCGACAGGAGCGGCGACTTTCAGCCGCTGTCGGCCGAGCCCTTCAACGACCTTGACGGGGGGGCAGTGGGCTCATCAGAGGCTGAGTGGTGGTGGAGTTGGCAAGTCGGTTGAAGTGAGTGTACGTCAGTCATTGAGGGAGGGTGGCAGCCTTGCCTTGTTTCCTACCTTGATGGGGAACCCTGCCCGCTGTCTGTCTTTCTTCCTCTCTGCGATGAGTGTGTGCTGACTTCCTCTCACACGTGCGTGTCAACTGAGATTTGGTCGTTTGCTTGTGAGTCCTGCTCAATTCAAGAAATCATTCATTCATGTGTCAGGCAGGCAGGCAGGGCTCACCTGTCTGTCTGTCCCTGCATGTGATTGTAAACAGCCACACACTTGACATACGGCCGGCACTGAGCATCTAAGCAAACAATCAGCCACCTTACACACCTTCCCAGCTCCCCGGCCACTTTTCGTCGATCCATTCATAAACCTCACACGCACTCACAGGGACGTCCTAACTCACACACACACGCACACACACATCATGATGTGCACATATGCAGCGTAGCGAGAGGCACCGACCCACCAGCAGCCAGACAGCCCAGCGCCGCGCTAAGCCGTACACTACGCCCCCACCCCACTTACTCAGCCTGTCTGTCTCTCAACCAACCCCATCCCTCCCTCCCTCCCCTCCCCCCATTCTGTGTCGACTACCCCTCACTCCTTGCCATTGGCGTCAATCATGCCGTTGGCGTTGGCGTACGATGACCCTGCCTGGTCGACGTCCATCATGCTCTCGTCCTCTCCCTCGGCAAACTCCATGTTGGCCTGCTGCGCTGCGATGGGGCCGTTGGTGTTGGCAGTGGCGGGCCGCGGGCCGTTGGCCAGCGGCGCACCTGTCGTGGGGTCCACCTCCATCGGCTCGTCGTCATGAAGATACTTGTCAGGCAAGATGCCGCTGCACACACAATACAATACAGACACATCCGCAGTGATTTGCACACGCAAACACGTGTGTCCTGCGCTGTCCCGTGTGCTGTGCGCACCGGTCTCTGCATTTGCGCTTGCGCCATGCGACGTCCTCCTCGAGCTCACCCACGGCCTGCAGAATCTCACCATTCCTGCGCAGCCCAGACAGGCCAGGGGGTTGCAAATCCGTCCCTGAACGCTCTTGTGGGTGGGTCTGTCTGTGTCGGCGTACTTATGACTGCTAACCTGTCGACAAGCTCCTCCCACTCACGGCCGAGAGTGCGAAGAGTGTTGCCGCACGACACCTGACAGACGGACGGGGGACAGGCAGACATACATGTTTTGATGGACCGATGTTTTGATGTGTGTCGAAGTTGTTCCATTCCATACTTTCCAGTACTAGTCAAGTCACCTGGTCCAGCTTGCGTCGTTTGTTGACTTCGTCCATGTCCCGCTTGAGGATCTTCACATCAGACTGCAACCTGCACGCACATAATCATGGATGGACGGATACACACCACACAGACAGACAAGGGCACGGCAAGGCAAGCACTGATCTGATCAGCCATGCCATCTTTGCCAGACGTTTCCCCTCACTCAGTGACCCACTCACCCGGTGTGGTGGTGTTCGAGCTGCTGCAGGTGGTTGAGCCACACCTTCTGTGCGTTCTTGTGCATCAGCTCCAGGTTCACCATCCGCACATTCGAGTGCTCCAGCTGCGCCTCGGCGTTCTCCAGCGACTTCTTCCACTCACCCACGTCAGCCGCCTTGGCGCCCGACGGCACCTCCACGTTCAACCGCGCCTGGTCCAGCTTGGCCATCGGCCGCTGCATCTTGATACGCTCCATCTCGCCCTTGATGACCGGGTCGCTGTCGAGCACGGGTGTGGCGGGCTTGGGGAGCGACGCGAGGTAGTCGCGAGGCGGCATGCGGGACATCTCCTCCTCGACGAGCCGCCTGACCTCCTGCTGCAGGTCGGCGGGGAGCGGGTCGATGTACGGCAGGGCATCAACCAGATCCCACCCCTCGTTGTCCTGACATGACACACAGACAAACACACCCACACACATGCACAACCAACCAGACAGAGTGTCATGTGGTGTGGTGTGCTGCGATGTGTCGGTGGGTGCAGGTGGGCACCTGGAAGAGGTACTGGGGCTGCCCGCCGTCCATCTTCACCATACCGGAATACTAACGAGGCCACGGGCAGCACACAGGGATGCGATGGCAACAAACGTTCGACGCTCTGCTCCAAAACTCTCCAAAACACGGCACACGAGGCGTCAGCAGCACCTAACAGTCGCAACCAACCTCCTCCACTTGCGAGCTCACGATCGGGGTGGAAAGGGAGAGAAGGAGCGAGGAAGCTGGTGAGTGCATAGGGGCGACGACAGCAGTTGGTGATCCAAGCACCAGCTTTCGCGACGAACGGGCGTCGAGTAGAAGACAAGCAATCCACCCGAGAGGGGTGTCCTCCGTGCGTGGGCAGCTGTCACGCGGATCCATCCAAGACGCGGCCCTCCCTGTCTGTGTTTTCACCTCTCGGGGCGATTCATCTGCCCTGACTGACTGACTGACTTCGCCCCACCTGTCTGTCTCTTCCTGATCCTCTGTCACCATGGGGATCAGTCGCTTTTATCGCTGGCTGAGTGAGCGGTATCCTTTGATCAACGAGCAGATAGAGTTCGACCAGATCCCCGAGTTCGACAACTTCTACCTGGACATGAACGGCATCATTCACGGATGCACTCATGGAAACACCGGTAGGGGGGCGGGGGGGGGTGCGCACACACACACGCAATCACACTCACACACACGCACATACCACACCACACACAGAGCATTGGACGGCAGACATGGTGAATGGCATGTGATCTCTCTCTCTCTCTGTGTGTGTCGTGTGTGTGTGTTGTGTGTGCACATCAGGCAAGAGTTTCGTCAAGGAGGAGGATGTGTGGACGTCAGTGTTTCAGTACATCAACCACCTCTTCTACATTGTCAAGCCCAAGCGGCTCATCTACATGGCCGTCGACGGGGTGGCCCCCCGCGCCAAGATGAACCAGCAAAGGTCGCGGCGCTTCCGGGCGGCGCAGGACAACAAGGAGAGCAAGGAGAAGGCCGAGGCCATGGGGGACACCTCCAACCGGTTCGACTCCAACTGCATCACCCCCGGCACCGAGTTCATGGACCGGCTCACCAAACACCTACAGTACTTTGTCTTCAAGAAGATACAGCAGGACCCTCTCTGGCAGGGAATCGACGTCATCCTCTCGGGGCCGGATGTGCCGGGTGGGTCGGGGGGCGGGCAGAGAGAAATCGACTCAAGGAGGGAGGCAGGGAGGGAGGGAGGGAGAGGGAGGGAATCCATGCACGTATGTGTGTGTCATGTTTGTTGTTTGTGGTGTGGTGGTCAGGTGAGGGTGAGCACAAGATAATGGATTTCATCCGGCGGAGCAAAGCGCAGCCGGGCTACGACCCCAATACCCGGCACTGCCTCTACGGCCTCGACGCCGACCTCATCATGCTCTCGCTCGCCAGCCACGAGCCGCACTTCGCTTTGCTACGGGAGGAAATCATATTCGGCAAACAAAAGACACAGGGCATCGAGCATAGAGTGCGTGAGCCAGCCAGCCAGCCAGCCATGCACACACACACACACACACACACCCCTATCTGTCTGTCTGTCTGTGTGTGTCCTTGTGTGGCCGGCACGCGTAGGTCTTGACAAAGAAGGAGAAGCTGCAGCTGCTGCACATCTCCTTAGTCCGCGAGTACCTCGACCTTGAGATGCGTCCCGGCCCCAAATACCTGTCCAAGCTCAAGTACAAGTACGACCCCGAGCGGGTCATCGACGACTTCATTCTCTTCTGCTTCCTCGCCGGCAACGACTTCCTCCCGCACCTAGAGTTCGCCGATATCGGCGAGGGCGGCCTGGGCATGATCATGCAGAAGTACAAAACATACCTAGAGGTCAGTCGGTCAGCAGCCGCCAGGCCACACAGCCAGAGAGGACAAGGAAGCGCCGTTGTATGAGGTGGATGGGATGGCGTGTATGTCGATGAATCGAATCTGTCTGTCGGTCAGACGTGGAATGAGGACGGCGGCGACCCGTGGCTGACCCGAAATTGCGGCGAGGTGTGTTGGTACCAGCTGGTGGTGTTTCTGGAGCACTTCAGGGACCATGAGGACGACGCACTCGAGACCAAACTCGAAGACAACGCCTGGTTCATCGGCAAACGCAAAACGGTACACGAACCATGCCATGGATCGACCATTGGCGGATCGACGTGTGCGTTGTGCTGTGTGGTGGGTTGTGTGGGTTGATGTGTGTCAGGTGGGTGCTGTAGAGGATGGTGATGAGAGTGAGGACCGGTCGGGGGACTTCACTGGGCCGCCCACATCCACTGAAGATGTCAGGGCCAGGTCAGACACGCAGTCACACTCAGACTCATGCACACACACGAAGAGTGATTGGCCCACCTGTGTGTGCGTGCAGGTATTACTGGATCAAGATGAAGATGAATCTGAACCAGCACGAGGGCCGGGAGATGCGCAACAACCTCCTGCAGAGCTACATTGAGGGCCTGCAATGGGTACCTGTCCACCCATCTACCATCCACCACACACATACACACCCCTCCCGTCCACCTGTCCTATCTATGTGATGTGCAGGTGTTATTCTACTACTACCGCGGGGCGCCCTCGTGGATATGGTTCTACCCCTTCCACTACCCCCCCTATGTGATCGACCTCCTCAACTACGGCCCGCTGCGGATGAAGTCCATCCACGACCCGCCACCCAAGATAGAGTTCGAGCTGGGGCACCCTTTCAAGCCCTTCCAGCAGCTCATGGCCGTCCTGCCGTCGGCGTGCGCCTACCTGCTGCCTGAGGTAGGAGAGATGGATGGATGGACGGGCGGGGGGAGGGGGAGGGGAAAGAGAGAAGATGGTCAGAGTGATGTGGGTGTGGTTGTGGGTGAGTGTTCAGATGTATCGCGATTTGATGATGAATCCGCGAAGCCCCATCTGTGACTTCTACCCACAGACCTTCGACATTGACATGGACGGCGTCAAGGTACGGTACATCGACCACACACCCACCCGCACAAACACAACTACTCACAGACATACGTAGCAAACAGCAGACCCGCGCAATCCCCCGTCTGTCCTGTCTGTCTGTCATCAGGTGCCGTGGGGCGGCGTCACACTCATCCCCTTCATCGAAGAGACCCGGCTGCTCGAGGCCATGGACTACGTGCAGCTGCGCAGCGAGCAGCCCCCCCACACCCACCGCCTCACTGAAGCCGAGCGCGCCCGCAACACGCAGCGCAAGGCGTTCATCTTCCGATACGACAAGACGGCCTGCGTGTTCTTCCAGTCGACCCTCAAGGAGCGCTTCCCCGACCTCTACCACGCCCCTGTCAACAGGAGGGAGTACGAGCACGACCCCCTGCCCCATGGGGCCGAGACCTTTCCCAACCGGGTGCCCAAGGGGTGTCAGCTGCCGTACCAGGGCTTCCCCAGCCTCCACACCAAATCAGTGACGGTGAGAGAGAGACAGAGATGAAGGCCTTCCTTCGTCTGTCTGTTCGTGGATGAGTGTGTGGATGGGATGGATGGATGGATGGGTGGCTGCAGGCCGAGTTTGGCAGCGGCATCCATGTGTTCCAGAGCGAGAGTCGGCAGAAGGGCATCATCCTGACGGTGGAGCAGGACAAGACGCCCGACGACGAGTACAGCTACCAGCGGCTGATGGGCCTGCTCAAGGCCTACACCCTCCAGATTGACTACCCCTGCGTACACGTCGCACAACTGGTACGCCACGCCCATGCGGCGGAAAGCAAGCCATCATCACCCCTACACCCCTTTCTCTCTCTGTGTGTCTGTTGGTCCGTGCCGTGCAGCAAGGCATATGGTCCCCCCTGGGATTTCTCTCCAAAGACGGTGAGTTCCGCCACTCAGACCCGCGCGACTTCACAATGGAGCTGCAGAAGCACACCACCGACCTCAAGAGAAAGGGCCTCGTCGTCAGGCCCACACCGCAGCCCAAGCACCAGACGCGAGACCTAATGGACCTGCTCGTCAAGGGCGCCACGGACGAGTGCCGCACCGGGAAGGTCAAGGGCGGGGACCTGCCGCGGATGCTCGTGGATGGCCTCGGGCAGGCGCAGATGGCTAATGGGGGCGGCAAGCCCGCCCTGCCGGAGAATGTGCTCCTCGAGGTCAAGCAGGCGGAGGAAACGATCGAGGGCGACAACGGCAGGTAGGCAGGCCGGGAGAGGCACCCGGCCCAAAGTCTTTGATCCATCCATCCGTGTGTGCAGGACGTACCGATTCCGTCGCGAGACTGTGTATCGTCTGGCGCCGTTTGTGTCGGTGTTCCAGTCGAAGGCGCCGCCGGAGCTGACCAAGAAGGCACGGTCAGCACGCCTGCGGGACAACCTGGAGGTCGGCGACCAAGTGCTCTGCACACAAGCCGGGCCGATGCTCGGCGCCATTGGATCGGTAACACACACACACACACACACACGCACACACACACGACTGCACGGAAGACACCTGAAGGAGAGGCGTGTGTGCGTTGCAGGTGGTTGATTTGGGCAAGTCTGAGGACGGGAGCGACGTGCTTGTCGAGTACGTCATGAAGGGCACCGACGGCGAGCGGCACGAGATGCAGAGCAAGGTCCTCGACATCATTCGCAAACACGTCAACGTAACCTCACCCTCCTCCCCACCCCCTACACACACTCCCATAGCCCCTCACACGTGTGTGTGTGTGTGTGTTGATTCCTTCGCACAACACTCAAATCAGGACATGAAGTGGTACACGATGGACGAGATGGCGCGTGCAGTGGGTATATCAGTGGGGGTGTGCGCCTGGCTGTGCCGATCGGTCAACGTGCGAGGGGAGGAGGGGCGCGAGGACGTGGGCATGAACCTCATGGCCGACGACAAGGACGGCAACCCCCTCTGCCTACCCTGCTACTCCGCCATGCACAGAGACCAAAACGACAACATGATCATCTGGAACGATCGAGGTAGGTCCCCAACAACACAACACAGCACACACGCGGAATGCATGAACCACCCCAGCCGAGAAACCTGCGGACGGACACTCTGTTTCGGTGTTGTGTGTGTGTCAGGCGGCCCGTCACGCTATCTGTTTTCCCATCTGACGGTAGAGGAGATGCAGCTCTACCGGCAGACCTTCCCCGGCCTCTTCCGCGCCCTCCAGGACGCTCTCACCAACCGCAGCGGCGGCAAGAGCTCGGCCGTCAAGTATTCTGACGTCTTCAGAGACAAACCCGACCCCGCCTACGCCTTCGACAAAATGGTCTCCTGGTGCCTCTCCCGGCCCTTCAAGACACTCAAGGTCGTCCCGGGGCAGTATCAGAGCGTTCCAAAGGACGGTACGTGCGTCGAGTCGACCCATGCGCTGATGTGATGGGGCAGGGAGAGGAGGGGCACACGCGTCAGTCATGTGTATGTGTGTTGGTGTGTTGACTGACAGGTGTGATGGCGGTAGAGGCGTATTTGACGTTTCTCGAGGCAGAGCGCGGCAACGAGGAGCCCCAGCGGCCGCGCATGACGGGCATCTCACACATATTCAAGATGGAAACAAACGCCAGGCCACCAGGTGGGCAAGGCTCGGCTCGTACGTATCTCTCCCCCCTACCCCTCCCCCTCTCCCTCTCCCTCTCTCTGTGTCGATGTGGCTGTGTGTGTCAGCGGCGTTGTTCGACTCGAAGCTGATGTTGGGTCAGCGAGTGGTGTACGTCAAGGAGAGGGGCGTGGCGCCCATCGGCTCGCAGGGCACCGTCGTGGGCCACTACACCGACGCGGGAAACAACACCATGGTCGAGGTCCTACTCGACGAAGCCTCACTAGGTGGGTGCCCATACCGTCTCACGCGCAATGACGCAACGCGTCATTCTGCCTCCTTTTCTGCCTACGTGTGTCAGGTGCGAGCGACCTTAACGACCGATGCTCCCCTCTTCGCGGCATCCTGGTGAGCTACAACCACATCGTGGCGCTTTACCCCAAGCTGACGGCGCCCCAGCAGTCGCGAAATCAGCTGCGTGGCGGGCAGCCCCACGGGCATCGGCAGTCCCACCGGCCGTCTCAGTCGCCCCCGCCCGACCACTACCTGCACTTCCCCCAGGCGCAGGGCCACGGCGGCCCCCAACGGTCCTACTCCAACCCTCCCCCGCCCTTCGGACACCCACACAACGACAACCACATGCTGCACCATGGTGGTGTGGGCCATCATCCCAACGGTTTCTACCACCACCCCCACCAACAACAGTTCCCCCCACAGCCCTCTCCAGACCCAGGCAAGGACCTGCTGAGTCTTCTTGGCGGTGGAGGGGCCGTGGGGATGTCTAAGGGTGCCGCACCACAGCAACATCCGCCGGCGAGGGGCGGCTTCCATGGCCCCCCGCAGTTGCAGATGCTGTTTGCGGCAGCCAACCAGGCACAGGGCGGACGCCAGGCCGCACCGCAAGAGCCGCCAAGGATCCTCACACACGGTCGGCCAGCCGGTGGTGGGTCGCCCACCACGGCGCCACAACCGTTTCCTCCCCACCCTGCTGCCCCCGTCGCCCCCGCCCCGCCACCTTCTTCTCGCCCACCCGCAGGCTCTCCCGGCCTCAACCCCCATGCCCCCACATTCGTGCCGCGAGGCAACCATCTCCCGCCGCACTTCGCCGCCGGCGTGGGTGCGGTGGCGGGCAAGAGCGACGCCGTCTTTGTCAACAAAAGCCAGCAGGAGGACCCCAGGAGCAACGCCGGCCTGGCGTCCAGGCAGCTGTTCGACCTCCTGGGGGGAGGGGGAGGGGGAGGGGCAAGCAAGCCAACACCACCACCACCACCACAGCCAGCACCACCTGCCGTCGCAGTAGCGGCAGCATCGTCTTCCCAGCACCAGCAGCAGCAGCAGCCCCGTGCGCCACCTCCGCCGGCTGCGCCGCCCCTTGGTGCACAGCGGACCCCTGAGGAGATGGAAGAGGAGGAGCTTGGCAAGGAGTGGGACAAGGCGCTCGAACAGCTGCTGGCCAACTTCAAGAGGCGGGAGGGATAGATAGAGCGTCATTTCTGGCCAGGCAGGCAGGCAGGCAGGCTGTCGTCGCATGGCGCAGAGGTAGAGAAAGGCGTGCATGTGCATGAGGGGAAGCCCTGGTACCGAGCGAATTAAGGGCTGACTGTGGTGTGGTGTGGCGTGGTGTCTGTGTGTGCGTACGCATTGTATTGGTGATGATGGACGACTGACCGGACCGGGGTGGGGCGGGGTGGGGCGGGGTGGGGTGGGGTGGGTTGTGGGCTTTTAATCATGAGAACAACAGCTAGACGGATCGAGATCAACGTGGGCCCCATTTGTTGTTTTCGATTCCTTCCTTCAGAGAGGAGGGTGTATGTGATGCCGGCTGGCTGGGGGTGTCTGTCTGTGTGGTGTGTGTGTCTATCTACCTACGTGTGTATGTGTCTGTGTGTACAGGTGTGTCTTCTCGGGTGGTTTTCGTGTTGGCCTCGCCCCGCGGAGGCACGTGAAGCACCTGGCTGCACAGACAGATCCATCGATGTCATGTGCATGACATGATGTGCATCGTGTGGATGGATGGATGGGCCTTTATTTCTTCGGCTGGCTGACTGGATGGATGGATGGATGAATGGATGGATGGACGGACTAAGTACAGGCAGGTCAGGTCTATTTCTCTCTCGCCTCAATTGTCTCTCGTGTGGGCTTACATGCATTGCAGGGCAACACACACTATGCAGGCAGGCAGGTGGTTTGGTTGGGCTGGATTGGCTGTGGGTGTCGATTACAAGTCAGTGCTGGCACTGTGGTGTGGGTACGCGGTTGCATTCTTACAGACAAGAGGGACAGACACATGGGATGCACACAACCATGGATGGCGTGGACGAGTGCCCGGCCTTTCTGTGGACAATTAACCAGTCAACGAACACCGATATCCATCCCGATATCCATCCCACCGTCTTGCAATGTGGAAGTGCGTGTGGGAGGCACAAAAACGAGGCTGGCCACGTACACACGGGACGCCCAGCCCCGACCGGTGGCCTCCCTCCCCCACCGAGGTGAGGTGCATTCATTAGTGTGGCATGGGAATACCAAGCAGGAAACCGCACGTGGCAGACACACCTGCACCGCACCCATGCCTTCCTTAAGTCCTTTGTGTGTGTCTTGGCTGTGGTGATGTGCTTCGTCAGTGTGTGGGTAGGGTGGGAAGGGCGAGAAAGAATGAGGGGAGACGTTGTCATCACACAGGCATACGTACACGGCAGATGAGGAAGTAAGTCTGGTTTGGTCTAATCAACACACAGTCCCCCCGCCCCGCCCCCTCTCACTCTCTCCCTCACTCTCTCTCTCTCATGTGTAGACGTGTTTTGTGGCAGTGATTTTCTGTCTGCAGCTGGGACACAGCCGCTGGTCTACGGGGCGGCTCATGAGGGTGGCCGCACAAGTGCCGCACAGACAGAAATGGCGGCAGGGCACCAACACGATGCATCTCTTGTCAGCCATGCAGATGTCGCACTCAGTGCTCTCCTCCAGCCTGCACACACACAGAAGCCATCCGTTCGGCGACCATCTCTCATGTGCGTGTTGATCGGATCACGTGCCTGTCCTTCTCCCGCTTGATGTCATCCTTCTCCTTGAGTATGGCCTCCTTCTCCATCCGCATGGCCTCGAGCTGCTGCCGCAGCGCCTCCACCTCACTCACCTCCTCACCATCACACCTGCAGACAGACAGACAGACAGACAGGTGCGGCCAAGGCTGGCTGTCGTCTGTGTGCCCGTTTTCCTTGGCTTCCCTGTGCGTAAGTAAATGTGTACCTGCCCTGACCACCGCAGCCCTCGTCGTCCGCCGCCCTCTGCAAACTGCTACTGCTACCGCTACTAATGCCTGCCAACGGGGCAAAGCCATGCCCCTCGGAGCCAACACCGCTGGATGATGACGATGCGACAACTGTTGCAATGGCGACAGGTGATGCACTGGCGGCCGACGATGCAGTGGGGGCTGCCACGTTGGCAACAGGGAATGACGGCTGCTGCATCTCGTGCGGTGGCGGCCTGATGAGCACCCCGAGGCCGCGACCCGCCCCACGAGACACTGGAGCATCGCCATAGCCGCCCGATGCACCATTGCCGGCCATGTGGGATGGTACTGGAGGTGCAGGGCGGGATGTGCGGGGCGGCAGGGTGAAGGGGAGGGGCGAAGCATTGCCGGGGTCGTCACGCACCGACGAGTGGGATGAGGAGGGGCGAGTCGACTCGGACGAAGAGGGCAGCACTGATGTGTTAGAGCTGAATGAACACACTCACACAGGACACGAGTAGACAGACAATAGAAACGGTTGGTCTTGTTGCTTGTACCTGTCGTGTGGTTTGTCGGTTTTGTCCGTCTGCTGCTGTGCATGGCCGCCCTGTGGCGGCTTGGTGGTTCCCTTGCCTCTCTTCCTACGACCGACCGTGACGAAGCCGCCGCCCTCGACACCACCACCATCACCCGCCCCCACCTGCTGCCAACTGCCGGCAGCTACAGCCGCCGATAAAGACGAGAATGAGCATGAGGGTCGGGGAGGGGACGGGGGTGAGGGGGTGGGGGGGTCGGGCAGGTCATGGTGGTCTTCTGTGTCCTCCTCGTGGTCATGCTTCAGGGGGTCCACGTCTATGTTGTCAGCGCCAACACTGCGAGTAGACCACCAGACACACACACATCATCAGCGGTCCATATGGATGGCCGGCCTCTTCTCCCGTCTGTCCACCTCACCCACCTGGAGGATGCTTCCATTTCGTTGATGTCGATCGTCTTGGTGCCGTTGGCCCCCCTGCCGCCCCTCTTGCCCTTCGATCGCTTCTTGCCGCCCCTACTGCCGCTGCTGCTGCTGGTGTTGGTGTCCTTCTTGCCCTCATCTATGTGGTCATCTGCCAGCTCTGCCGCCAGGAGTGAGTCGGCCAGCTCGTTGGCCGCACGCTCTATCAGGTCAAAGAACTCCAACAACTACAAAAAAAGACAACATGCAGTCCATGTGCCCCCTGTCAGCAGCCATGTGTGTGTGTCATCTTATGTGTGACACCTCCTTGGGCACTATCAGCTGCTGCTGTCCCTTGCGTCGCCCTGGCTGCCGCCCGGCCGCGCGCATGGCCTTGACCGACTCGTGCTGGAGGATGGCCTGGGTGACGGAGTTGGGACGGGATTTGCCCCCTCGGCTGCTCACGTGATCGCCATAGCTGCACCGACAGACAGACAGACAGACAGAGGGTGGAGTGAGTTTTGTGGATCGGGCAGGTCTGTGTGTGTGTGTGTGACTGAGTGAGTGTGTGACCTGACGAGAGCACTCAGAGTGCCGACGGCAAATTCTTCGAATCTGTCCACCTTCTGCTGGTCGACCTGGGCGCGCTTCAGCTCGAGGATCATCTCACACAGAGCTACGGGGAGACCCTCACGCACAGCGATCTGCAGCATACACACATACATGGCCCTCCTCCCTGCCGGCCTGTCTGCCTGCTTGCTTGCGCGACTAACCCTTGCCCGTTCGTCAGTGAGGTCTGTGGCCGGACCGACGATCGACACAAGCGTGTCAGCGAAGTCGACCAGACTGTCTTGCGATTCCGTGCTGATGAGGGAGGGCAGCTGCGACATGATCGAGATCCATCCAGCGCGATACACCTCGGCACGAAAGCCGCACACTGCAGGCAGGGAGTAGACAGTGTGCACAGCACAACGCAACAGCCTCTCTCCGCTGCCTCTCTGTTGTGATTGGTCACCGGCCAGCATAAGTGGGACACTTAATAAGATGACGCGATCCCGCTTGTCGTCCGTACGCGCAGCGGTGTAGGTCTCCATCGCCTTCGGAACTCTCATCAAACGCTGGGCGGGCCCGTCAGGCAGAGAAGAAATGTAATCGACCCCTGCAGAGTGATCCAACACACTCAGGCGCCCCGCCCCACGTGGGGGTGTATCGTGTACGTACCTAGGCCTGTCGCCGTCGTGAACATCTGGCAGAACTCGAAGATGTCCTCCACACACAGGGCGGCACCGCGGCGCATTCCCTCGTCTGCGTCAGGAGACGTCAGCGTGGCGGCCAGTGTGTCGATCTGGCCACATTAGCCAAGACAGACATGTGTTTGTGCTGTGCGGTGTCTGTCTTGCTTGACATCTACCAGGGGGTAAATGTGCTCCTGCAGCGCCTTCAGACACTCAGCGCGGTCAGCATCCGACCCTGAAAGGGCGCGTGCAGGACATTAGCCGCACAAGTACCATGTTTGTGTGCCGGGCCTGACCACCTCCATTGGCCAAGTGGCGAATGTGCCCGCAGTGGATGAGCGATCGGAGGTCTTTAGCCGTACTATCGCTGAAGGAACAAAGAAGAACGAACAGCAGCATCCATCGCAGCACTCCCTGCCTGTCTGTCTGTGTGCGATTGATTGCTTGCTTACTATGTGTCCCGAATATCCTTCCTCTCGTGTGCCATGATGCGTACTGCCGCCCGGAAACAACCGACAAACACAAAGGGCGGTAGGGGAGCCCATGGGAAGGGGGGGAACTGTCCCGGTTCCGTGTCGAACGCCGCCCGCAGGAAGAAAAACGGCATCATGCTGCGAGTCACGGTCTCTGGGGCCTTCTCCAGGCACTCGATGGCCTTCTCGAGGATGGCGGGGTGCTGCTGCACCAAATGATCGAGATAGTCGACACGATTGCCCTCCTCCCGGCCGTTGAGCAGGATGTGAAACAGCAGATAGAAGGCTACCCACTCCACCGTGTTGCTTGCGGGCCGTTCCAGGTTGGTATTGTCCAACACTGGGGCAAGCGAGCTGATGAAGGTTTGGGGCGAGCCACCGACAGCCGAGATGAGAGACCTTTTGATCTCTACGGACGATAACTGGTCGCCCAGAAGGCGCAGCACCTTGGCCGCCGACTCTTGGCATGCCCTGTTGCCGGCATTGATGAAGGCGGCGTGCACACGCTGCAGCAGCCGATCGTTGCAAAGCCGCTCTAACAGCTCCCTAACCCAACTTTGCACCTCTCCCTCTCGTACAGCCACCAACGCGCCCTGAGCTGCCCTTCCGAGTATGCTGAGGCCATGGGTAAAGGCGTCATCGGACGGCTGATGCGGTGACGAGAGTGTCGCGATGGCCACCTTGGCGATGGCCGCGTCGACGTCGCATTGGCTGATTTGGAAGTTGCCGTCATTCATGGCAAGAGGCCGGGATGGGTCAATGCCATCTCAACGCCATGTGATGGATGAAATGCACGAGTGCCTACCAGAGCAACAACACACGGGCAGAGGGCAGGGCACTTGTGGATGGATTCTTTTCCATTTTCGCCTGCCCACCTGTGCGATGCGATGCGGCCTTGTATATCTATCTATTTCCCGTCCTCCACCACGAAATGCCTCCCTCTCGATCCACTGATAAGCGAGCCTGAGCTGACGTCGGTAGGCCTTCCTCTCACTTCCACCTCTGCTGGGGTGCACAACTCGCTCTCCACATCCCCAGCCGAGGTCATATGGTTTTTCGACCTGGAAGGGTACAGGGTTTCAAACCCTGCTTATTTCCCACGGTGGTCGCAGACTCGCAGATCTTGGCTGGCTGCAAGATGAAGGAGGCCAGCATGCAGAGCGCATCGCCTCCCCCGCTGGCCACAGCCATCGACATGGTGCTGCCGCCATCCACATGGGCCTACTGCTCGAGGTTCTCCCGGACGCTGCGTACGCAGTGGACGCAGATCGGGTGCGAGAGCGAGTGGGCCTGCCTGCCGTGGGCTCGGGTGAGGTTCAAAGACCAGCAGCTCGAGAAACAATACCTGAAGCTCAAGAGGGAAGACACAAGAGAAACCGCCAAGGTGGGTGGATTGATGCGACACACGCACACGCGCAAGCACCACTGCAGAATGCACTGAGACTCTGCCGTCATGCTCCTGTGCTTGTGCTTGTGTGTGTCCCCGGCCAGCTCCTGGGCGTGATTGTGTCCCTGGCGATAATCGGCTTCGCCATCGCCCTTGCCATCCAGCTTCAGACGAATGTGTGGACCAACGTCGGCCTCGAGGCCTTCTGGCCGCGCATCGGCACGCCCCTGGTCATGTCCATCGTCGTGGTCTTCTACGGCCTCTTCCACAAGCAGATCGTCCGCTGGTACCTGTGCATGGCCATGACCAAAGGCGACCACAGCGACCTCTGGACGGGCTCCCCGGATGGCCGGAGCGCCAGCAGGCTCGTGGCCACGCTTGACGACGTGTTGCAGCCCTACTATCGCGTCGAATGGTGACACCACTCCAGACCACAGCACACACACGCACCAAAAGTCCCGGACACACTGCTCTGCTGTGTGGCTCATCTCATGATGTGTGTCCCCCAGGTACGTGTTGTACGGCTTTTTCCTTGCGACGAGCGTCGCTGTGAGCAGCCAGGTGCACTTCATCGGCAAGCTTCGCGACATGTTCGGCAGCAGCCAGCTGATGGCGTGGAAGGAGGCCGAGCACCCAGAGGTCCCTGGCATCATCATCCTGAAGCCCGAGTTTGAGCACTATGTCGCTGCGGAATTTCAGAACGTCGCTGTCGCTGCACTGGCCTTCATGATCTTCAAGTCAGTACCACACACATGGCTGGGCTGGGCTGGGCTGGGCAGGTGGTGACTGTGGCGCATGTCAGGTGCGATTCGTTCGCGACGTCGTGGCTGATTCTCGTCCACCAAGTGCTGAGATACGTGGCCAATTACGTGTTCGGGTCGCCCATCTACACCTGCTTCTACCCCAGTGAGCGCACCGCACTGCACCGCACGCAACACCCAGCTGACCCAGCCTAACGCACCTCTTACCTACCTGTCTCTCCTGTGCCTCTCTGTCTGTCGCGCTTCTCGTTCTTCCTTTCTTTCTTTATGTACAGTTGTGGGCATTCTGATGATCGCCGCCTCACGTCAAGTGGAGTACTTCTATCGCAGCGCTTTGTTCCAGACGGACAAGGTAAGGTTAGCAGCAACCACAGGCAGGAGACACCAGCCAACCAGTCTGTCCGTTTGGTCTTGGTCAGGTTGCCCGTGAGAAGGGCCAGCGCCGTCGTCTGCTCGAGTCTTTCGCTTACATGGTCGACATCGCTGCTTGGTACGTACCTACGGCACAAGACAGACAGTCAGTCATCCGACATACAGCAAGGGTGTGATGTGGTGTTGTGTTGTGTGGTGGTGACTATCTGCAGGGAGTGGGACTCGGCGGGCAACGTCCAGACCGACTTCTACCAGGTGGGCGGGTGACCAGACCCACATAAACCAAACCAGCTCCACCACATGCGCACCGCACGTCCTGCGTCATGGTGGATGTGGTGTGATGTGGTTGAATCTCAGACGCGTGTGATCGAGGCTCTGACCGGTCGCTCCCGCGGATCGGAGCACCCTGGCGCCTTCCCCCGCCGTGCTCTCGAGCAGGCCCTCGTTCCGGACATGGCCAAATCGGAGAAGTCGGTCGCCTCAACTGCCTTCAAGTACCCCTCCCACCCACTGTCGCGCCTCAAGCTGGCGGCCCCTCCCTCCCTGACGGGCGTGAGCAGCACAGGCTACAGCGTCCACAAGGACAAGACAGCAGTGTCGCGTACCGTCACCCCTCCCATCAGCAAGGACTTGTCTGAGACGCGCGCACCGAGCAAAGACGACAACAGCGGGCCCCCGTCTTCGTCGACCGAGTCGGGGGGCAACACCACGCCGGTGGCCAGTGTCCCATCCGGCAACAGCCGCATGGCCCAGTACGTCGCATCGCCCAAGAAACAGGGCGGAGTGGCTGTAGTCGGGCAGGCGGAGGGCGTCGCCGAGGATGTGGCAATCTCGGTGCCGCCCGTGCCCGTTGCTTCGTTCGTCGATGACGGGGTGCGCGACAAACGTCTGAGTGGCTTCTGGACACAGCATGTGGTAGGAGCTGATCGCGTCAAAATTGAAGAGGCCATCATCCGCTGCGCCGATCACGGAGACCCCTACGAGATGGAGGTGGGTGGAGGTGCCCACTCGGAGAGCCGTCAGTCGGCGATGCTCATGCCGCTGTGTGTGTATGTGTGTGTGTGTCCAGATTATGTATGAGCGAGCTGACGGTGAGGTGAGATTCTTCCGCTGTGGCGGCCGTCGATCCTCGCCCACATCGACCGTCGTGTACGGGTACATTCAGGTAGGTACAATACGGTACACATCAGAGAGAGAGAGACACACACGAGCCGGCCCTGCCCTGCCCTGCCCTGGTTGCATTGTCCACCACGCTTCTCTGTCCACACGTCAGGACGTGACGGATCGCAAGAGGACCACGGCTTACCTAGAGCAGCGTGTGCACCTCCTCGACCGGCTCGCCGACGCCACTCTCGATGCAAGCATCATCGCTGACGTGCAGGTAACAAAACCGGGAGGAACACACGAACGAACAAGCCGCTCCCCATTGGGATCATTGCTGGTGCGGTGCAGGAGGAGATAGTGTTGGAGTCGAGCGAGCTGCTGAATCTGTGGGCGGGTGAGTCGCTGGAGGGCATGCCGATGTCGCCGCTGTTCAACAGCTGGACCCTCAACTGGCTCAAGGGCGACCTCTCCACTCACCCACCCGAGCTCAACGTGTCCGTCATCATCACCAACCCCAACAGCACACAGCAGCAGTGCAAGGTCAGGTCACTCACCTCTTACACAGACAGACGCACGCACAGGCAGGCAGGCAGGGACACACCCCTCCAGAAACAAGATGTTGTTTCTCACCTTCTTCTCTCACTCACGTCAGGCCGAGATGGTGATACTAGTGGATGCCGACGACCCTGCGCGTGTGTTCATCGGTCTCAAGCATGTCCGCTCGTGCGTCCCGCCTTACACGCCCTTGAGGAAGCATCAGCATCTCACCCCCGTGGGCCGTGCCACCCGCACCCACTCCAACAGGGGCCGGTCGTCGCGCGCTCGTCTGGTGCTGACAGACCACACAATGCAGCACCCGCAGCAACCGCCGACGCTCATAGGCTACATGACAGGCTGGCTCAGATGGATGGCCAGCTGAAGAAGATGTGTATGTGTTGAAGTGAGGCGTGTCCGTGCGTTTGTCTGCCCGGTCTCTTTTGACCGTTGGCTCTATTTTGTGTTTGATTGCGTGGGCTGATCACTGCTTGCCAGCACTGACTGGATGGATGCGGTGTGTGGGTGGGGTGTGCATCCTCCACTTCATTTCATTTGATTTGATTTGATTTGTGTGTTTCTGTCTGCCTGTCTGTCTGTCTGTCTGTCAGCGTGTTCTCACTACAGGGACGGTCGGTAGTGCTGTTGCTGCTGCTGCTTGTGCTTGTGTAAGCAAGGGGCGGGGGAGGGAGGGAGGGAGGGGTGTACGCGCACTCACTTTTGCAAAGGGGATGACGAGTGCACTGTTTGAAGAGAAGAAGTCGGGTCATGCAGCCAGAAAAGCGTCCGTGTCCGGTACGTGTTGTGGCGGTGAATGCGTGTGTCTGCCCCGATTAGGGGCACAGATCAAGCGTCGTGGATGAGCGGATGTGTGGGTGTTTATGGATGTGATGTCAGTGTGAGTGAGTGAGTGAGTGAGTGGACAGCGAGTACGAACCACGCTGTTGCCTACCAGCGATACATACACACCTGTCCGTTCAGTGTCTGCCTGTCTGCCTGTCTGTCTGCCTGTCTGTCTGTCTGTCTGCCTGTCTGGCTGGCTGGCTGGCTAGCTGGGTGCACACCATGCCCAGCAAAGCGCGCCCGAAACGAAACGTAACGTCCGGTGCCGTGTTCATGTGTGAATGCGCTATGTACATGTATATGTGTGTGTGTCTGCGTGTGTCCTGTGTGCGTGTGCGTGTGTGTCTGGGCGACGGCCGGGGGGGACGGGAGGCCGGGGGGGACGGGAGGGGGCGAGGCCATCCGATAGGGATGGGATGCGATGGGGCGGTGAATGAGGGAAGGGCTATTTATCGAGGATTTCATAGACACACTCACAGCCTGATTTCATTCATACACACGGTGGCTGGCTGGGTCGATTTCTCACGTACACCGACCGTACCGTACGTAGTCCATGGTCAGGTCAGTCAGTTTTGCCACCCACTCGCTCACTCGTCCACCCTGCAGAATGCTCCACGATTGATAAGGGCGGGAATGGCGTCTGCACACCCACACATCAACACCATGGGAAGAGAGAGATTTGTCCATTCTCCCTGCGTCTGTGTGTGCGTGCTGCTGATTCCGCATACTTACCTGTGTGCGCGTGCATGTCCGTCTCTTCATTTCATGTGGTTGCCCCCAACTGACCGAGACTCGTTCGTTCTGTCACTCGGTCTGTGTGTGTGTGTGTGTGTGTGCGTGTGCGTGTGGCATCCCCTGCCTGTGTCGTGTGTGAGCAGGGAGGGCAACAGATAGTGCGGGAGGTCTTTTCTGAGTTTGGCCATGCTGCCGGCAGTGCTGCGATCTCATGTGATCTCATGTCGTGTGTGAGACTGTCGACGGGGTGGAATGATGTTGACCTTAAGAGAGAGGAGTGAGACGATGACACACTGACAGGGACGTGCAATCAAATCAGCCAAAACAGAGTCATCGATGTTTACGTTGAGCCAAGTGCAATGCCGTTACAGGCGTTGGGAGGACACAAAACGGGAATCAACTCGCTCCCTCCAGCTGCGCGCGTGGTCATCTTTCTCGCACGTGTGCCAGCCGTCCAGCCAGCCTGTCGCCATGAGGGTCCTGCTCGCGCTGCTCGCCGCTTTGCCACTTATCGCGGGACAGGTCAGTGAGCCAGAGAGAGCCCCTCAGTCCCTGCCTCACACGCCTGCACCCCCCGCACACCCTCTCTGAGCCACCGCCTCAATTGTGCTTTCTCTCTCTGTTTGTGCGTTTGTGTGCGTTGACTGTCTGCTCGCCGGCGCTCTCTGTGTGTTGGTTGCCTTGGTTTGGCAGGCCGTAACGACCTTTGACGACATCCACCAGACGGAGGATGGCTTCTACATGAACCAGGACAAGTGCTTCTGTGCTGGCGTGGGCGGCACGTGTGTGGGCGAGTGCGGCCGGGGCTACGACGCTGCCGAGCTGACCAGCAAGGACAACTTCATGTACGGCCGCTTCGAGGCCAGCCTCTACCCCAACATCGACGTCAACGGCACCGTCGCCACGTTCTTCCTCTACAAGAACGACTCCGACAAGGTCGCGGGGGCGTCATGGCAGGAGATCGACTACGAGGTGCACGGGATGGGCGGCCACGGGGAGGTGCCCATCCAGACCAACATGATCACCGGTAACTTCACCGACCGAGAGATCAGCGAAATCTTTTTCGGCGCGGCGGGCCACCCCTCCGAGATCGAGGCGCAGAAGGCCGCCATCAAGCAGGGCTTCCACCACTTTGCGCTCGAGTGGACACCCGAGTACGTCGCCTGGTACTTTGACGGCCGTAGGATCCGCATGGACATCCCCTGCGAGGCCGAGGGAGCCGACCCCGAGACCTGCAGCCCCCAGCCCGCCCAGCTCCTGGAGCCGATGAACCTCCGCATCTCCCTCTGGCCCTGCGACCCCGAGCCCTTCTGGGCGGAGTTCTGGGCCGGCCGGTTCAACCCCGAGACACTCCCACTCACCATCTACTTCGATTACGTCAAGGCATACGACTACGACCCGGTCACCAAGGGTATGTGGCCTGGCCGCCCGCACACACATCACAACAAAACACCACACTGGCAGCAGCCGCCCATCGAGTGTGTGTGTGTCGGGTGGTCGTCTGTGTGTGTTCGTTCAGGTTTCACGCTGAAGTGGGTTGACGAGTTCGAGACGCTCAACACGACTCTGTGGGAGGTGGGCGCGCACACCTTTGACGTGAACTACGCCCACTTCACGCCTGAGAAGGCCGTCATCGTCAAGTCGGAGGACCACGACCCCATGTCTGACGGCTCCTACCTCGCCCTCTCCATCACACCAAAGCACGAGGCCCTCACGCCCGCAGCCCCCGCCAGCAGCAGCATGGCACACGACGAGTTCGGCGTCACGCCCCTCGAGCAGGTCTATGACGACTGGAACCCCCCCTCCAAGCAGTACGTCCTCGAGAGCAACGTCTGCGAGGCCGAGGGCGTCATGAACGTCGAGGGCAAGAGGTATGAAGGCGGCTTCGGCGCCTTCACGACCGAGCTGGCCAGTGGTGACGAGCTCGCCATGGAGGCGCTGCCCCAGGGATTCGACCCCACCACAGCAGACCAGAGCAGCCCCCTGCAGAAGTGCGCGGCCATGTGCGTGGAGCAGTACGACACCAACGAGTGCCGCTTCTTTTCCGTCTTCGCCGCCAACTCAACCATCTACTGCAGCGGCTTCCACGCACCCGAGCATGAGATCGACGACCCAACGGCAATGGGCGGCGTCGTCTGCTCTGGGATGTCAGCAGTGGCGGAGGTCGAGGCGGAGGTCGAGGTGCCCACCACCGCTGCGCCCGAGGAGCCCGAGGACACCGCCCAGGGCGAGCCGGAGGAGGAGGCAGTGATGCCCGTGGCCGTTGAGGACGAGGCGGACGTCGCGGACACGACCACTACCACGACCAGGAAGCAGAAGCCCGCAGCCGCCGACAAGCCTTCTGCCGTCGACGAGGAGACCGCACTCATCGAGGACAAGACGGACGAGGCCGCCGAGGCCAAGGAGGCAGCAGAGAAGGAGAAGGCGACTAGCAAAAAGGACGACACCGTGTCTGACGCCGACGCGCCCAAGGAAGCCCCGTCCGCCACGCAGAAGGTGGTTGACGAGGCCGCTGACGCGTCTCTCGCGGACATCGAGGATGACGGGTCCGCCAGCCAGGCGTCGCTCAAGGAGGAGGAGGAGGCCGACACGAGCGTGGTGCCGGTCAACAGCCCGCTGGAGCCCTCCGAAGAGGAGGCTGCCACGGCCGACATCCCAGAGGCGACCAAGGTGCAGGGCGCTGATGTGAGCGAGACCACGCTTGACGAGGCGGCGACAGAGGACGAGGGTGCGGGGATGCCCATCTGGGTCATCTTGGCCGTGGTTGCTGCGGCCATCCTGGCAGTGGCTGGTCTGGCTTTCTTCGTGTCGTTTGTGATGAAGAGGCGGGCGGAGGCCAAGGCCGAGGCGCAGGAGAATGCTCCCACCACCACCCACACGCCGCAGAGCGCAACCAACAGGGTGTAAGTTGGAGGGAATGCCTTTGCCTTGCGCGCGCAGGGGCCGCCATCACGCCAACACATACTATCTAACTGTGGGTGGTGGGGTGACTGAGGTGGGGCGGGCCGGGGCGGGGAGTGACCGAGAGAGAGGCAAGGCAAGGGCGCGTGTATCGCGCGAGTGGATGAATGAGATGGGTAATGTGATGTGATGTGACGTGTTGCGTGCAGTGCGATCGAGTCAGTGAGTGAATGGTGTTTATGTGTCCTCCCTTCCCCTCTCTTCCTTCGTTGGTTCCCTCGTTGTTTTCCTTTCTACGTCTAGCTGCCTCGCACACACACACACACATACACTCACTGGTGGGAGTGCCTGTAGTTGCACGCACCCACCCCTCCAATCCACACACTCATCCCATCCACAGGCACAGAAGGAAGGCAGGAAGAGGGAAGCCAGTTTTTTCGTTCGTCCTTTCCGCTTATCGCTGGTTCTGGGGTACGCTTTTCGGTATGTTTGTCTGTCTGTCGGTACGTGTGCGTTTCTCTGTCATTGGTCTGTCGGGTGGGGGGAGGGTCGGTGGGCGGTATGTCGGTCGTCTGCTAACGAGGATGGGTGTAAGTGTACGTGTATGTGTATGCGATTTGGGCATTTTATGTCGGGCGGTCTTTTGGCCCGGGGGAAGGGCGAAGTTTACGTAAGGCGTATAGTGCTATTGTGTATGTATATGTGTGTGTATATGTGCTATGTTGTGTTGTGTGGCGGATGGATGGATGGAGGTGTGCATTGCATTCGATGGGATGCGGGCAGAAATGTGTGTGCCTACTTTGCCTGTACATAGGTATGTGTATGTGTGTACGTGTGTATATGTGTGTGTGTGTGTGTACATATGGGTTTTGCCATGACGCTCGATCGGCGATTCCTTTTCTCTCGTGGCGGGGCGGGCGGACGTGGCGTCAGTCAGTCAGTCGGACAGACAGACCGAGACACAGACGTGTGTATCAAGGCCATCACGATTCATGCACACTTTCATGCTCATCTGTGTTTTGTAGTTGTGTAGCCCGACTGACTGTGGTCATTTTGGCTGCCTGGTGCCTGCAATTGTGTATCCATTTTGTGTGTGTGGCGGGGGCGGTTGGCAGAGGGAGAGAGCTGTAGCCAGCTCCTCTCTCAGAAGCGAACAGCCTTCGTCTCAACTCGTGTCTGTCGTCTTGTCGATAGATGGGATGGATACATATATATAAGTGCCACCCACCCCACCCCACTCCACCGCACCCCAACAACCCATTTGAAGACCCAATATCGCATACACATTGAGTGAATGGCCCCCCCCCCCCCCCCCCCCCTACCGCATTAATGATGGAATTGCATTGCATTGC